AAATTTCTGTGAGTTAGTAACCTATTCCCATTTTACAGAGAGACTACATAACTGTACAAGAGCTGACAATAAAACTCAGGAGGTTTGACGACCAGTCATTTGCTTTAATGGTTATGCTTTGCAGACACTGAAGACTGTCTGTAATCATATAAATGGCTTGTTTCAATACGCTTTCTGCATAATTGATTGGGGAAGCATTATTTAAAGCCAGTGGAGGAAGCTGGGTCAATTACATTACATTATTCGTATCAACTATACTCTAGAAAAGAAAACTTACAGCTCAACTCATATCCTCCTTGGGATTTTGATAACTTTTGAGAAATCAAAACTGTCCAAATCAAGTTTTCTGGTATTTTTACCAGAAAATAGCTAAAAGATAAAGTGTCTCCTGGATTTACTTTTATCCGCTTTAGTTATTGCCTTTAGATCTCATGGGGACTGTATAAGAAGTAAATTTGATCTTTTGAACAGAGAGTCCACATTTATTGGCAAATCTCATAAATACTGTAACAGAGCATAATATGGTCTCATGTTTGAACAAAAAGATTCCATCCTCCTGTCAGAAAGCAATCTTGGTTATTTACAATCGACTCCCTTTTTTAAAATCTTGTTTACAATAGCTTCTTTAACTTTTTTTAAATGCCCTGAGAAATAACAAAGGTAAGAAGAGTAAGTGGAAGAGAAGCACATTTTAACTGTCATACCTTTTCTTGCAGCTGTGTGAAGCTGGAAATTTTTCCATTCATGTTGCACTTAGTGACCTCCGGAGAGATGGTAAAAATTACAATATTATTTTTCGCTTTAGTCCAGCCATTCAGTACTTCCACAGTTATGCTGCCTCATGAAATGACTGGTTCTGGAGGGTATCAATTACACAGGTAGTGCAGAAGGAAACACGGGTAGTGCAGAAGTGCTGGTATAAGCAACATGTTGGTGAGCAAGCGAAAGTAATTTCCCTGACTTTATTTGAAGAGGAGCACAAGATCTCTGTGCAGACCAAAGCTCCTTGTGCATGAGCCAAACATCTTAACAGCTATCAACTGTGACTATTAAAATCCAGCTCTGTGACAAACAGAGAACACCTTTAACTTCTAACATCTAAAACATACCTAAGTCACAACAGGTGCGACTGCGATCGAAGGGTTGTGTAGATGTCTTGCTAATGTCCAGAGAATTTCCTCACAGTTCTCACAGTTATCCTGTTCCTTCTTGTGGGTCCAGAGGACATCCTGTTTTTCCACATCTTGCTTGTCCCTATGACAGCGATGAGACACAGGAGTTGGCAGATCTGGGTTGTCTTTATAGGAAATGATATATCTAGGAGTATGAATATTTTGTGATTTGTTTTCTAATCTATAGGATCCAAAACCCGTAAGATCCCATATCCAACAAAGAATCCTTTCACATGGCTGTTTTTCTTTGTGTCTTGCCCTAACTATACCTACGAGGTATGTATTTTCAAACGAGCTGTTAAGATTTTAGTTTTGCTGGATAAGTTCTCATTTCTTTTGGCATGTTAAAACATGGAAGAAAACTCTGAAACAGTTCAGCACAATACATTTTCCCTCCTCTTGTAAAACCCAAGAAACCACACGGCAGACAGGAACTTATCTGTTCTTCCTGTCCACCCTTGAGGCAGTACTGACATGCCAAACAGACCTGGGCCTGTGCTTCAGAGTAGCTGCTAGACAAGATATAAATGCACTTTGAAGCAGTGGAAACTTTGCAGACAGGAACAGGAAGATCGACATTGAGGGTGTGTGGCAGTGAGGGGACGGGGGCATCTAATGGATTTAAAATGTAAGAGAGCCCAGGAACAAATATCACAATGTACAGGAAGATAGTGCACAGATAAATAGAGGATACTGTAGTAGATAAAATGGAGAAGTAGTGTGTATGAAGCAATGCTTGCCAGGTCTTCATCCCCGTTTTCCTAAGTTATACGGTCGTTTTTGTTGGTGCTGTCTGGTTTAGAAGCTTCAACCAGTTTATTGCTTCATATTCCTTAATCAGGAGCCAAACTCCCAACTCAATTCAAAACTTGTTAGAAACAGTAAAACTGAGTGTAAAATTCACTTTTGTGCAGAAAGACTGTGTCAGGTTTTGACTTACATGAAGATGAAGTGTGATTGTGTCATTAGCAGATGTTAATGAGAACAGCATTAAGTCTCAGGCTGTAGAAAATTACTGTGCCTACCATTGATGGACAAGTGACAAACACAAATTAGGCAGAGAAAAAGGAAGCTAGCTGTAATGCTTAAAATTGTCATATTAAGTATGGAAGCAAACATAAAGGCTTTGTTTGTAATAACAGGGCACTGTTCACCTTTTTGGCTAAAGATTATTCACATTAGAAAATGATCTGGCTGACCTTGGCTTTTTTATTTACCTATACTAGGACAAGGTTGGTTTTGATCAATAGAGACATAAGTGCAAATGCTGTCATCAGAAATGTTTTAAATTTCCTTGGCCAAAACAGGTGGGGACATGGATCAGTTTCACTGTCATGACTCAGTGTGTTCCAGGTGAGTAAAGTTTTGGAACTTCCCTCTGATGCATTGTCAGTGACAAGAACATGTTCTTTCCCTAGTTATGAAGCATATCTTTTTCTTTTTCTTCCTTCCAGTGGGTCTGTTCACCTTGCTTTGCTTCATTCAGATGACAATCTGGGCAAAAGATAAACACTACACCTACCTACGAGAATTCAAGGATTATCCAAGTCTTAGAATGCCAATTATTCCTTTTTTGTTGTAAAAAAAAAAAAAAAAAAAAAAAAAAAAGGTTGACTTCAGTATTGCATGGAACTTCAAGAAGAAAAAGCTGATGGATCTTTTTATTCATAAACCTCCTGCCAAAAAATAATTAATTTAAATAATTCTGTCAGATGTTAAATCTCCACTGCTGAGGGAAATTGTGTACATTTGAAAACAATACTTCCTTACGTTCAAGAATTCCTCAATTCAGAAGCACCTTCAAAAAGTAAGGCTTCATTGCACATTTGGTAGCCAAAAGCTCCTATAGTTCACTACAACCCAACTGACTTAGATTTTCCTGTACTAGTCTATTTAGACTGATGCCTCTGAGATACTGAGAAGCCTGTGCTGAAAAGTAGCTCCAAATTTAGCAGTGGCACTCTACAAGACTGTGACATAAATACATTGGAACGAGGACATACCAGCCAACTACTAGAGAGCTCAGCTCAGACAGCATGGCCAGCTGGCCTGAAGACAGTTGCATGTTCTGCCTTCTTTGACTTGAAAAAGAGAGTGTGCTGCCTGGGGGCAAGTGCTTTGTGACAAGCAACATTACCAAAGAATATGAATGGTTCCTGGAATAAAGAAATAGGCAATATCTCAAATACCTGTTTGGGTCTAACATATAATTTGCCAAATGATTCTACAGTAAGATGAATTTGTAGATGTAACATCTTGTGTTGATTTTTTTTGGGGGGAAGCTTGTTTTCTGTTTGTTTTGGTTTTAGTATTCTTCATTAGTAAATTGCATACTAGTAAATAAGATTCATAAGATCTGATCTATGCTGTATCTGTGATATTTGGCCTGTTTTCATATAACAAGTCCTTACATTACTAAAGGACCTTTTACCTTGTATTATTTGTCAGTATTCTCTGAATAATTTTTAATGTACTTTGTAAATATAAAAAGTGGCTGCTAGTCCTCAGAATACTAGCTCCCTTCCTATTTTCAGAGCCAGGGATAAAAACAGCTACATTTTGAACTTCCTGTGTTTTCTTTTTCACAAGATGTTCAGTGGGACTTAGTTGGGTTTTGTGCAAATCTAGTAAAAAAAAAAAAAAAGACTATTGCAGTCTATCTGAATGACATTTTGAAGAAGCTGTTTCAGAATATGAAGAGAATGCATAGATACTGTTTTGTTTTATGATTAATTTATTTATAATGGATGTATAGAAAGATTTTGCAGCTATTTGTAAGGGCAAAATATGCAATAAATTCTAGCCTTTACATTAAATTCAGTTGAAATAATTATGGCAAAAGAGAAAGACTAGTTTCATAATATTTTGTAAAGCACAAAGCAAGAGTGTACTTTCATTAAATAAGATAAATTGAAGAAAAAAAAACTAAAAAAGCAAAAATACATGACCCAGATTTTATTTCTGTATAACACATCTTGGAGATTTCTTGGAAATGAAATGATTTCTTAGATAACTGAAGCAATATGAATTTGTTTTCAGTACTGTTATTTTCCATTAGTTTAAATGTGAACCAGAGAAAAGAGCTAAATGTCAAATGATTTCCCACTGAGTGCAGTGTGGAGTACAAGCTGGCTGAAATTCTCCTGAGCACGGACAAAACACATACCCTACTCATACTACACACCCACGTGAGGTCCAGGTCACAAGAAAGAAGAAAAATTTGATCTTGTTTGGTAACAAAGATATTTTTCCAAGACTCCATGATAAAACTAAACTTTGGGCCAATTTGCACATACTCTGTTTTCTTTAAACCCCAATTTGATATTCTGCTTCTATTTCTGAAGTTGAAGATGAGTGAGTATGAAATAATTTTCATTAAGATGTTTTCTTTTAAGCAAATTTCTTGCCTGGGTCTGAGATCTTAATGAATTCTTCTCAGTTTTGCTGAGACAACTGTCTATTTCCATTGCCAAGAATGAAAAATGAGTTGAATGAGAAAACCTACCAGCCTGAAAGGGCCAGACTGAGAAACTGTTTTTAATGCTCTTTACATGTCAACAAGGAGGAATGTGAATTCTCTTCTTGTATCTTAAATGAACTTTACATTAGAAGAAGATTTTGTTGTAGAATCAAGTACCAGCCTTTACTTCAATGCTTTCAGCACTGCTGTGTGCGGTGTTCCTGGTAGAGCAGCAGAAGTTTGCTGTTGCTAGGGAGTTGTGAGCACAGTTCTCGGAAAGGTACGAAAAATCAGTGTAATACTGAGCCTAGGAGTCTTGTTTTACTTTTTACTGCTGTGGTATGGCACACTAAGTGCTAGTGACTGTACGAATAGTCTATGCAGCTGCTTGCTGATGCAAAGCAGGGGACACCTTTGCTTCTCGACTGGCTCCAGCTGCACGGGGATGCAAAGGAATTTCCTCATCCTCCATCTGCTGCTTAGCAAAGTTCACAAAAACCTGTGTGAGGAAAGCAGAAAATGTCACCACCTCATCAACTGAGGTGAGTTAGTGGAATATCTCTGTACATTGGCATCTCTGCAGGGAAGATACAGAAAAGGGAATCCAAAGATGTATTGAACTGAGACACTGGATTCCAGTATATTGCTCTGGTATAATAACCATGATGAGATATGAAAACATTTAACTAGATACCACATCTCTCTATCAGCATCTCTGACACAACATAGTCCAAATCTCTTACTTAAAATGAAATGGATAGAAGTATTAGATCATTCCTAGCTCAGCAAGCCTCATTCTGACTGGCTGACCTTGGAGGATTCCTTCCTTGAAGGAATGGGTTGTGGGAACTCTAGTGTCTGGGAAATGCTCTCTCACCAGCATTCAACTGGCACCTATTTACACAGGGAATTAGTTTCAGATTTCATACCTGATCCACCTTCCTTGATGAGGAGTCTGGGAATTTTGCCTGAGAAGGAGATGTGAGAGAATTCTCTGCTCTAAGAAGTTTGGTCCTCCTGCTGTTTGGAAACATCCTTACTGCATTGCATAATAGTTACTCACCTGATCTAAAGTTGTTTGAGAGACAGAATATTCTTCAATATGCAAGTTTTCCTTATTGGAGATTATTAATCGAAAAATCTTAGCTAGAGAGGATGAGCAAATCTGATACTGCAGCATGTTGTAGTGTTTCTCTCTCTGTAAACTCCCTGGGAAGTTTATGCGTATGAATTGCTCAGCACGACTAGGATCTGGAGGCAGCCCTGCCTTTGGAGCTTTGATTTTCAGAGTGACAATGTAGCCGTCTCCAAACCTGGGAAGCACATATGGGTTTGGGAATTAGATGAGGAGATCATTTCATTATTCAAGGGAAAAAATCCTTTTCAGCAGCTATGAAAGCAGTAACAATATCTGAAAGATTATGCCTAAAATCTAGCTTTATAGGAAGCTCTGTGTTTGGCATGCAGAAGTGGCCTGTAGCATAATGGAGTTGAAAATGAGGTCTACCTAAATTGTCTAGAATACCGCAGAGTTGCACCCAGAAATTGGTCTGTTCAAACAACAGCTCTTCAGATTGGTTTGCTGTATTAACAACAGTTCATATCACATGTACTAAGTTTTCCCATGAAAAAACACCATAATGTATTCAACTTACTTGTATTTTAGCTGCTGAATTGTGCCCAGGCACTTGAAGGTACCATTTACCATGATGGCTAGACGAGTACAGAGAGCTTCGCATTCTTCCATACTTTCAGAACAGAAAAAAGATATTTGAGCTAAAAGCCAGCAGATGAATGTCAGCTTCTCAGGCATTCTGAATCCCAGCTCTGTACCTGTGTGAAGTTAGAACCACAGCTCGTCCATCTCTGAGCACGCTGACAATAGAGTCCCACAGGAGGCGCCGGGACTGAGGGTCCATTCCAGTAGTTGGTTCATCCTGGAAGTGAAATGTTAAGACAGCCAGTTTAAGAAAAGCAGATTAAAAAAAAAAAAGTCATTTAGAAGTAAACCATTGGAATCAATCTGTTGCACGTTTGGGAATTAGCATATAGCTGATATAGCTGCTTCCCTACTGAAATATGTGCCTTGAGAAAGAAAAAATGCCTTGAGAAATATGTAAGTGAACAAATACTAAGGTACTTCTTAGCACAAAGCAGTAAGGGAACAAATACAATAAATCACACGTAAGAGTACAGTGCTGTCTGTGTAGGGCACAGCTACATGGAAAGGAACACAGTGAATGTTCTGACAAAGGCATTCCATAGTCTGGAGTCTTAGCTATAAAAAATGTAAGCCTCATGATACCCCATTACCAAAACATTTAGGCCCTAAAATAAATGGAAAGAGAGCGATGTAGTAGCAGCTGCATCAAACTGTGTCAAGCTTTAAAAGTACAGACTGGCTGTAAAAGTACTTTCTTACAGAAAAAGGACATTTTGCAACCCAAGAAGCTAGTGAAGCCACCCTGATTTACACCCGCTGAAAATAAATAAATGAATAAAATATATTGTGAGAAAACATTTCATCTGGCTGCTTACTATGTTCAGGCAGAATACATGTAAAGGCATATTAAATAGGTGAAGGAACTATTTTTAAGCTATTAACTACTGAGAAGTTATTAATGTTTCTTTATAGCCTATGGATTTAGGTGGTACAGTATAATCTAAATAAAGAATTTTTGTAGCAATTGCATTTAAAATGACCCTTGAGATATGCAATTATCTGATAATTTATGTTAGTTAATGAGGACTCCATTTCAGCATTTGTATAGTTTATTCAAAAAATTTATAAGTTCATTCCAAAAATATTAAATGTTGCAAAAGGGCAACTACCTTCCTCTGTTCTGCTGGAAAGCAGCAATGTATGTGTCATCAGATCCTTTTTTACATGACTGGTTATACCCTGACAAGAAAAGGCAGACTGAAACCAAACATGGATTTAAATTCAGATTTGTCTAGGTTATAGATTTTATTTCAAGCCATTCTTTACTAAAGACCTTTCTTTCATAACTTAGGTTCCATCTGAAACAGTATCTTGCAATGCATCCCAGTCTACCCCTGAAATGAGAGAACTCAAGTTTACATGGAAGTAGATGTAAGTTGAGGCAGAAAGGAGCTTGCAAGAACAATCATTAACATCCTTATAGCTCTTTAGCATGTAGTTTTATGCAATGTCATATTGAGCTATCACAGAGCTATGCTACCATGACACTTACTAGTAAGATGAGTGGTGGGCAGCCTATGAGTGCAATGGCAGTGGAGAGCTTGCGCTTATTGCCACCACTGTAGGTACCAGCCAGCTGGTCTGCGTACATGGGAAGTCCCAGCTTCTGGATGCCCCATTCAGCAACCTATGAGAAAGAACATCTTTTTTCACACAGCAGTTAATACACAATGGACTGGATTGCTGACACATCCCTCTTCTGGCAAACCCCTGGGTTTTGGCACATTTGTTTTAGTACTGGAGCAGTGGAGTCAAAAAAATAAAAATAAATTATTATGATGAGGGGAATTCTAATTCCTTGAAGCAAAGCCATAACCCAGCCTTAGCTGTAGACTTTCTATTTGTGCAAGAATGTACATTATTTTCTTCTGCAATCTTCATGTTCTTTTTTATTCTCATACATAAACAACTTCAAATAAAATAACAAAACAGTAACCATACCAGTTCTGAGTCACAGCAGTTGCATCCTTAGCCTTCAGAGTTAGCTCCACAGTTTTGCAAGTATCATTAATGCCTATGAACCTGGATTTGACTGTGCATTCTTGTACTGAACTCCAAATGACAGGAACCACTCCCAGGACGTCAACACAGAGAAAAGCAAGCCCACCTTGGAAACTTTGGACCTTGCCATGAGGTGAATCATTACAAACACTCACTGTAAGTATATACAAGTAAAAAGTGAGATGCTTTACCCTCTTGATTTCCTCTGCTGGAACCCCTCGCAGGCGTGCATATAAATACAAATGTTCTCGTCCTGTGAGCAGGTCATCAAGGGCATCAAACTGAGGACAGTATCCCATGTTTTGATGGACACTAGAAATGTCAGTCAATATACTGGAGAAACAAAGAAAAAAGTCTTATACCTGTAACAGTAGATTTAAGACAGAGATGGACAGTTTGAATAAAATCTTTCTTTCCTAGGGCAACTTTTCTAAGAGGAAAATGAATTTACCCCAGTACAAGAATCTATTAAAATGTTTGTACAGTGTAGCAAGGAATATATTCTCATCTAAACCAGCTAAACTCTGGTTAATAGCCAAATCCACTTCCTGTGTAAGTACAGGCCAACTTAAAGAGAAGTTCTCAATAGAACTTACTTTTTGAAAATTGTGTTTATTTTGAGATTTAAAAATCAGGAAATTTCATCTCAGCTTGTGGTCACTGGGAACAGACATGCAAGACATGAAGCTAACAATGTTTGCTGGTAGTAGCAATGGGAAAAGATGAGAGAAGTACAGAATCACAGAATGACTGAGGTTGGAACGAACCTCTGGACATCGTCTTTGTCCACCCATCCTGCTCAAGCAAGGTCAAATGCAGCAGGTTGCCCAGAATCATGTCCTGGCAACAAAACAGCTATTTATTCAAATCACATCAAAGAGTCGAACCCCAACGACACCTAAGGAACCAAAACGCACAACCTGGAACTAAACTGACGTAATATTGAATCACGATGTAGTGACGACTTGTTATGGCATTATGCCAGCCCTGTTTAAACAAAGCAGCTAAAAACAGACAGAGGAAAGTTCCAAAGCTCAAATCAAAATGCTGTCTTGGATATGTTATGTTTGGAAGCTCTCGCCATTAGATCTGATTGCCTAGTTGCATTGCTAGCATTAGTATAACTTACCCCCAAATTTTACAGCGCAGTGTTAAAGGTGCTAGTATGGTCTCTCTCAGTCCCATAAAACTGGAAGGGAGCTACTGGGTCATTGAGACTAGGAGTCTATCATGGTAAATGAACTGTCACAGTTTTGTTTGTTCGTTTAAGGTACTTACCTATTGCCAGCCACTACAGCATCTCCAGATGTCACGTCAGTATCTCCAGTCAGCATTTTGAATGTTGTTGTTTTTCCAGCACCATTGACTCCCAAAAGACCAAAGCACTGAATTATAAAATGTATCACATTTTTTAGTATTTCCAACTTGTAAATCAACAAGGGCATGCAATTTGAACTGATCTGAGTTCAAATGAATGAGTAATCTAGTGCTGTTGAACAACTTACCTCTCCAGGACGGATGCCAACACAGAGCCTGTCCACTGCTGGCTTGTGCCTACCTGCATAAATCTAAATTGACAAAATATATTTCAGGACTTTTGCAGCAAAGAAAATTTCCTTTTTTTTTTTTTTTTTTTTTAATGCTGTTGGAATGAGGCAACTTTAGAACCAAGACAAAAGTAAAAGATAAATAAAATCTTGGAAAGAAAGAGTAAGCATTCTACCAACCCAGACATTTATTTACATTAAATACAGTTGTAATAACCCCTAAAAATTCCAAGTTTCCTTCATGCACCCTTTTACCTCATATCTTTAGTGCTAAGCAGCAGACCTGATGCTTTGCTGGGACAAAGTATCTCTGACATCAAACGAAGTGGAACAATACAGCAAGATCTGGAGAATGATACTCCAGTTCTCTATTCTTGAGATCCTAATAATGTGTGCAGCCTTTTTATTTTTGTAGCTCAGGCTTGCATGTATTCTGATAGCACCAATTATATGCCTTCACTGTCTTGAAAGAAGATAAATTAGCAATAACTATAGCCCTAAATGTGAAAGGAACTAAATGGTGAACTTGAGACTGAAATTCACCTATGGAAAAACAGCAATGCAGAAGAAAAGACTCGTAGTAGAAATGGACAGTCAATATATAAATCAAGTTGGATGATGTAAGGCAAAATATGTCAAGAAAAGGAGTGTATGAAAGTGTGTGTGTTGGGGGAGAGAGGGAGTTTGATGTCCTTGCTGGATTTTCTGGTTTGTTTTCTAATAAAAGGCAATAGCCAGATAACATAAATCCCTGACTTCTAAAATGTTCATTATTTTCCAAGGCACAAGCTTGATTTTGAAAACAATACCATCTGAATCCACTGCTGAAATACTGGGTTCATATATTTCATTCTTCTCAAATTGTACCTTGGTCAGTTCTTGTAATTCTAAGATATCTGTTTTTTTCCTTCCATTCATAATTCTTTTTCTTTCTTCTGCAACATCCTCATCTTCATCAGTAACAGGTGATTTGGTAGTCTCAGCAAACCTGGAAAAAAACAGATGATTGAATGCAGAAACAATGAGTTGCCCTGAGTGCGGTTACAATAGCAGTGTGAAACAACAGTTACTCAGTTGCCAAAACAGTGACTGGTGGAAGCAGTAAACCTGTGACATTGGATGGAGCATTCCTGTGGTTGGGAGAATCCCTGACCTTTGAAAGTTCAGCTCGAAATACTGAAAAGGGATTAAATTGCTTGCTCAAACGAGCATGATGCTGCCAGTCACTGATATGACAACCTGCCTCTAAGCGACAGCTTTCACTATTTGGCAGCTCTTCATTATCTACTGATAGTCTTTCTACCTATCTTTTGACTGAATTCCCTGTAAGACAGTATTTTTCAGAATTACCAACTAGTAGTCTTGTTGGCATTCTCCAACAGCAATGAACAACCCACTCACACCTGGAAGGCAGCTGCTTTCATTGAAACAGAGAAGGGAAGCTTGAATAGTGCACCCAGGCTGTGACTGTCCTATGCAATGGACTAGAATTCCAGTCTTAGGATGTCAGGCTAGTACTTTGTGCCATTACTTAGGAAACTACAAGCTTTCCAAGTCATTTTATCATCTCACCATTAGTGTCTTAATCTACAAAATTTACACTGAAGTCCTAGTTCAAGAAAACTAATTTCTTCAATAAGCTACATAAATATATTCTTAAATCCCATGAAAACAATGCAGATGAAGAGACTAGCAACAAGTTAAGATGAAATCAGAAAAGTAAACAGAATAAAGCTATAAAAGCTACTATAAATTCAGAGGAAAAAAAAAAAGAAAAAGAGAACATACAGAACAATAAAGACACTTGCCCTGTTAATGAAGGAATATTAATACAACCTTCCAGACATACCATCTTGAGGAGAATAAACGGTGCTGCATAAGGAGATTCAGAATGAAGAATGCAACTCCTTGAACAGCCATGGCAACCAGGTTCTTTCCAACAAAGTCCCACTGAAAAGGATTGGAAACATGCTCCTCACCTATGGAGGGGGAGAGCACCAGAAAGCAAGATTAAATACAGCTGAAGAAAAGAGTGCACGTCAGAACAAAAGGCGTAAGCATAATGGTTTAGAATGAAAATCTTTATTTGATCATTACCAGGCAATGTCCGCCCTTTTCCAGTGTATTATAAATACAGATTCTTAAGAAACTACACTCCAGCTCAGCTGCTGCATGGGAGCAAAAATGAATATAAGCTCTCTGAATATGCTCTTATTTGGATTTCATAGCATGAAATTTGGATGGATTATATGAAAGACATTTTCTGTGGGGGGGAAAAAAAAAACAGTTTTGCTTTATCACTATGCTTTTAACAAGAAGTTTGATAACAAAAACTGCCACATCCCAAGAAGAATAGCCACTTTAACCATTAACATGAGGGACACCGACATATTCAAATGAAATTACATTTTGAATTTCAATTTTTCAAATGAAATTACATATCCTAGCGGTGATAATCTAGGGACTTCAGGACAAGTGATAAAAAGACACCACAGTCTGTCACTTAACAAATAGTTTAATTTCCAATACAGACCACTGGTCATGCCCTAAAGTTCTGGCAGCTGTGATTCCTTCAGGGAGGCTGAGCTTTCATACTCATCTACCTGATCATGTGAAAGGGGAGGATTTTAGAAACAGACTCTAGTTTTCCAAAACAACCCTTTGAAACATCTCCCCCAAGGTCAGACCAGGTAAAACTGATACACCTTGTTGGTTATTGGCTCTCACTTACCAAACCTGGCATAAACTTCACTCACAGCTTGGTTTACGGCCAAGTCAATGAGTCCACGGCCCAGGCAAAAGTGTGGGAAGACAATCAGCACATTTTTCAATGTTTTATTAAATTTTAGCAAAGTCTATAAGGAACAGAAAGAACATCATAAGCAGTTGAAACAAGACTTAAAACATAGCAAAATGAATGAAAAGTTATTTTTCATTTCAGAGAAACTGGATGTTCTCTGTTTATCTGCAGCATGGCAGATAAACTGCACCATCAAGGTGCTTGTGAAAAATTGTCACTGAGAAGATAAATTAATCTTTGTAATGAAATATTTGTCTATGTAGCAGAGGCAACATGTTGTTCTGGTGTTCTGGTTGCAAACAAGAACTGTGAGCAAGAAGTAAGAGTGGTACTTTTTCTATCATAATAGCTTTATTTATACCTGGAATATTTCCATAATCAGGGCTATCATAATTTTGAAAAATACCAGTGTCTGGGCATAACTACACAGCAGACTTTGGTGAAAGGTGGAGATACCCAACGCAGTGTAAGTACCTGCACCAATCTAGCTGCACCACCACTGAATCCAGAGAAGGACAATTATCTTTCTGGAGACACTATGTCTGCAATGGAGACATATTGTCAAAAGTAACAATACTGGCCTGCTGTCCCACAGATATTAAGTATTGTAAAGTTGGCCATTTAAACCATGATTCCAATTGAATCAAGATCTGTTTTTTCCTTCCCACCAAACAACAATGCTTTTATCAGCACAGGGTGTCTTAAAAAGTACTATTGGTAATGATAGGTAATTGGATTGCAGTCAGCTCAACGTCATTCCTCATGTATGTGGATAGTTGGTAGCCCAAGATACCAACAGCCCTGAGGTTTGCTTCTGTTTATTCTGCTCACCTGTCCCTGCAGTAACACAGCAAGTTCTCCAGTCACTTATTTACTGCCAGAATAATGGCAAGATAGAGAAAGACAGTTAGAGATGGCTATGCTTGGACATCCTTTTAACAGCTTTTTACAACCAGGTCACAACAAAAACATTACTTACTGGGTTATTTTCAAATAGCTCCAGGATGAATGTAATGGCACTGCTGTTGATCCCCACAAAGAGATTAATACAAGACAATGCAACATAAGCAGTGCTAGGCACACTGAAGAAAGAAGAAGCAGGGTACATCATGGGAATTACTGCCCATCTGCATGCAAAAGATAGAAATATTACAATATAAATTAAAGGTAGTCTGTCCAGAAAACATCTGCGGCCTCTTAGATTTAATTTATGATATACACAGGACGATACAAAAAAATTTATTTCTTTCTTTTTTTTTTTTTTTTTTAACTCCAAAGAGATTTTTTTAGTCTGTTTTCTCTAAATTAACTCCCACTACAAAGCTAGTAGGAATATTATTTTATATATAAAGACATATGATAACAAATTAAACGAGAGGAAGTAAATTCCAGTCACTCTTATAAAAGGCTGTTTTGCCAACACAAACGTTCACTTGAAGAAAAAAAATATTTGTTGGACTCAATTCTCTTTGTCCTTGGGTAAAACGCTGAATAATATTTTAGTATTGGCTGTCAATGAGGCAAATAAATGACCATTAAAATCCTACACAATGTGCATATCGTAAGGGAATGAGATGATGTATTAGATTGACATGTCAAGGTAAATTAGACGATGTATTAGATTTATGTGTAGTGGGAGGGCTGCAGGGGTGGTCTCTGTGAGGAGTCCAGCAGCTGCCCCACGTTAGAGAAGAGCCAGTTCCAGCCAGCTCCAAAAAGAGACCCAGCACTGGCCAAAGCCAAGTCAAGGAGTGACACTGGTTGTGCCTCTGTGAGAGTGTATTTAAGAAAAATCTTCTGTGCACTAGCAGTGGGAGTGAGGAGTGATAAAATTTCAACATTAAATGGTGAAAATTTCTGTGAAGTAGTGACAAAAAAACTTTATAGCATGTGGCTGGGCAAAGAGTGTAAGTAACCTGAATTAGGAACAGAATACAGTTCTAACCTGCATTGTACCAACTTAGTTTTTTTCTTTGAAGCTAGATTTCACTAAGCACCAAGCTCAACAATGTGCAATCATGCTTCACATGCAGGAATAATCTTGAACACTCACCCATACAGAAGCAGCAAAGCAACAAGCACAGGGAGGTTAGTTGGAGAAGTGTATGCTTTCTTCTTGAATCCAGCAAATATAACCACAACCAGTCCAGCACTCACTGCATAATTCACCTGCCACATCACAGGGTAAAGATCAGTGTGTAAGACCAGCGAAGGGTTGCAAACCTATCTAGATCTTAAACATTATTCCCAAAGGATTTTGTATTGAGGAACACTGGAATTGTTGGACTGGAATTGAACTGGAATAGTTACTCAAGTTTTTGACTCAATGGACTTCTGGCAGCATTTGACACTTTTCTGAGGCATCTTTTATCAGACTGTTCATTAAAATTATAACATATTGTTGTTTCTTAGGTTATGGTTTGGAACTGATTGTTTCATGGTCCTGCTGGCAGGTTGCCCACAGAAAGAGGCAGTGAGTATACAAGGAAATGCAGTTTTTGGTGATATAAAGGTTATATATAGGAAGGAAAAAGCTAGTTATTTGAGCTACATTACTGGAAGGAGGCCAGAGTGAACAATGCTTGGCCACTGCTCTGCTCAGTTTCTCTGTTCAGCATTAGTACTGCAGGTCCACTGCAATTGCACAGAGCTCCCCATGCAGAGTGAAAGGTGGCATTTCACAGAACTGCTAACCCCAGTTAATACCTTTGCACCATGCTGTCAAAGGCCATGGCCAAGCAGAATTCCTGGCAGTGAAGCAGTGAAGCTGATGGGAGGCTGCTGTGACCAGCAGGGTGAAGGAACTCAGAGATCTGATTCTTTTCCCGCATTTAATATATTAATGTTTTGCTTTACTTTCTCATGAAAAAGCACCTTCTGAAACACCCAATGTTTGGGGGTTTTAATTTTATTTTTAATTTTATTTTTTGATTTTTTTTTTTCTCATCCGTATTCATGCTTTTCTTATCAAACAAGCCCTTGAGCCAGTATAACCACAAAAGAAGATCCTTGCTGTGCTTCAGGATTTAATTTGTTTTAATTTAATTTGTTTCTTCATGACAGAGTGGCCTGAAGAGTAATGAGAGGATAGCTGAGCCTTGTCTAAGCAAGCCTGGACCTGTGCTCTAAATCCTTTTGGCATAACACAGTGAACATGATTCAGTGGCCTAAACAAATATATCCACACCATTTTAGACACCCTAGAGATTTTTTTTCTGGCCTCCAGCTATTGTTCCAGCAGCCCATGAATCTCCCATTTAGCTATTTTGAATATCTTGACACTCATTAAGTTTCTTGTTAAGGGCAGGGTCACAGATGGTTGTAACTAGCTTCAGGCAACAGTGCTCTCCCCTGCTATGGCACGTTTTACTTGATTACACATTCAGTTTTAAGGACTGGAAATCCTCAGATTACAACCCTTCCATTAGTTCAGTGCCATGCACCTGACAATTTCTACATCTGACATTAGTTAGGAGAGGTCAGATCCTTAGCACATACTCTGAGAAAGAACTTCAAGAAATGAGTACTTTGCAGTGCTCAGAATCACCTTCACTCAATTCACTGATCAGTCTCCAGTTAATGCAAACCCAGAAATAATTGCTGGCTATGAAATCAGACCAGAAGTTACTCACTATGTCCCACATGAAGTTAGTTAGCCAGTAGATAGCAGGGCTCACACCACTGACAAACTGGAGGTGTTTGGCTTTCGTCACACGTTCTTGAATCAGGTATAAAACAAAACTGGCTGGGATAAAGGACATGGCAAAAATCACACAGATGGCAACAAGAGCATCCACTGAAGTGGTCAGCCTGCAACAAAGCACAAGAAAAGACTGAGCAAGGGAATGGATGCAACATAGCACTACGTTAGCATCTGGGAAAGCTGGTAGAAATGTTAAGATCTAAAAGTATCAAGGTTATGTTGTAAGTAGAAGACTTTTCCAATTTCAAAATGTGCTAGTGTATCTTGCTATATCACACTGGACAGCAGCTAACAAATGTGGCTGTTGATGGCACCATTCTTTTTTTTAATATATATTATTTCCTTAATTCTCTGGAACATTTCAGCTCCTGTCTCAGTTTGACAACCTTTTCTGGATGGTGTTGCAAAGCAGACATTAAGGCACACCAGCAGAAATGGTCTGGGAGCTGGGAGAAAAGGTACTCAAAAAGGCAAGTTGCAAAGTGAGATGAAGCACAGATCTCTGTGCTAAGGCAAAAGCTTCCAGTTTCACTGACTTCTAAACTTAGTAGAAGACATGAGTGGGAAGCCATGTCTCCTTATGAGTGTCTTTTTCAAGAAGTTATGGCTTTGAAGTTCAGGAATACATCAACCCTACTACATGCCATTGAAAATCTACCTGTATGTTGTCCTCGACACCAAGACAGAGGTTTTCGACTATTGCCTACTTGTAGTTACTTAAGAACATTTTCTGATGCCTTTTTTGATTATGATCTCTGTGTCACTTCACAAGTAGATCTATTGGCTTTGGAGCATGAACAAAGACTTCACAATTTGACCTTTATCCTTTGGAATCAACAGAAACATGTAACCATGTATAACCAATGGTCATGGCTACCATATAGGAACAGGAATGAATACTTACAGGATTATGAGACAGAAAAAAATGGATTGTGCATCTAAGTCTTGATTAGAGTAAGACTTCAAGGAAAGGCCTCCATGTTCTATCATCTGAACTATTTCATATATTTATTATATTTTTTCATTTTTTTATATATATTTTCATATCCCACTGGACTTGGTAAACTGCCAGAAGAGGGTAGGTAAAAGTCAGTGGCAAAACACAGGAAGACTTACACAGTGACTTCAGAGAGTTGCTCCTTAGTGAGGTTCAGAGGATGGTTTACAACAGTGATCCCATACTCCTCGGGAGCTTGCCCAGTCCGCAGGTTAGCTCTAAGGATTGCATTATTGGCTACATTTAGGAAACTAACCATAGCATGCCAGCCTTTATTGTTAAACCACACCTAAAAGAGTCAGAAAACACAGATTCGTTTAAGAAGCGTTCACTAATAACCCCGAGCTGCAGGAGTAAACTTGTCTGCCTTTTATCCACTTTGGTGGGCATTGTCAACAGGAAAGAATCCAGCATCAAGAATTTGTAAGCACAGTCCAGCAGGAGGAGCTCACATACTGTGCTTTTAAAGGGTTGGGTAACCATTGTAAAGGGATTTTGAAGACATTTTAAAATTTAGCAGAATATGTCTTACTCAAAAGTATTTAGGGCAGCAAGAAGTACTAAGAACACGAGTAAAAAAAAAAAAGTCTCACATTAAAAATAACTTTGCATTAACAATGTACCAGTGTTATTTATAATATAGTATTTCATCTCTTTTTGCATCTGAGAATGTCACTAGTAATATTCTCACTATTTGAACTCTATCTCAAAACACACTCAAGGTAAATTTTCAGACAATTTCCAGCAAATACCTTAATATTATCTTCAGTTTCCATGTATTTAAGGAAATTAGAAAATTCTTTAGCAGCAGCCAGTGAAGTTTGTCCCTTAAATAAAAAAGAAAAGTATAAAGATCAGCTGCCTGGGAGAATTCCAGTGCTGCAGGTTTTCAGCTTTGTAACAGTTCTTCAGTAAAGGGATGAAAAAATCTTGCTTACTCCTGTCACATTCATCATTCGGCACAAATCACTGAAAAAATCGACAACTTCATCTCCAGAAACATGAAGGACAGGGAGCTTTCCTCCTATAGAAATTCCTCCATATCTAACAAAAAGAATAGTATTATCAGCCACTTGTGTCACAGACCCTCTTTACATTTACAGCAATGTAAATACTAAAAACTCCCTTAATATAAGTTAAAGTTACATACACGGTATAATTTATCTATAACAATTCTCCACTCTTTTTCTAACAAGTTGTATTAGGTCTTTATTTTAATTTATGAGGGGTTCATGCCAGGATCCTGAGAAAATTATTATTTATATAGAATACTTGGAGAAAACAGCCATTTCTACAGTTCAAAATCTTTAGATCATGGTAATTGACATAGAACTGTTTGGACAACATGGAGGACTGAGGACATCATGGACCTCAGTTAAAATTTCAGCCACCCTGAGTGGAGCTGGTGGAGCAGGTATTCAGCAGTGTTGGTGCCAGCCAATAGGCCATAATAACAAATAGTATTGAATGACATGAACCAAAGTCTAATCCCATAGAAAGTAATGTTTGCACACGACCAAGGAGATATTCCCTGAAGGAAGCCAGTCATCTAGCTGCTACTCTTTAAATTAATTCCTCTGTTGATGAAAAACCCAAGTATTTTCTTCAAGCTAATATGTCATCTTCCTAAACTTAGTATCTCTGAGTGTAGACATCACATTTGGGTTAGATGTCCCCATGCAAGCATGAAGTGGAATCTGCTTTATAATTACCTGCACGTGTTCAGAGTGGGGAGGAGGAGTTGCAGTTGTTATCCCTATGTACATGGTAGATCGACGTCTAGTTTACATCTTCCCCATGTGTTCTTTTTGGAGGGATCATATTTTTTTCTGCTGCTCTTTGAAAGAGCTGCATCAGAGCACTAAACAGAGCACAATGTAGCGCTGCATTTAACTTTCCATCACTCAGATCCTGTTAGTCAAACTCGTGTAGGTAATAAAATTGTTATAGTTCCATTGTATGTCTCTTGCCTTCACCCTTGTGGAGGTAGTCCAAACAAATATAATCCCTTTGTCTTTATAAAACTCTTGCTGACCCACAACCTATTTCACACTGCAGTCATCTCTTTGTTCTATGCTATCTGCCACAATTCCTCTTGTCCATCCAGAGAAATGTGAGGCCCTGTGGTTAAACAGAAATTCATTGTTCCTTTGTTTACCAGCACAGTCTGTGAATTGGTTTCTTACCTTTGCTCATTGACCCAGTATTTGCTCTTCAAGCTGAAAAAGACAAAGAGGATCCTGTCTCTTAACGCACTGAACCAAAGTCAACAGTACTGTCAGACTTAGATGGAAATGAAAGGTGAATTCCTATGCTTTGCAGATCTTTAGTTTCCACAGGTAGCTTTTTATTTTTTTATTTTTATTTTTTATTTTCTGGTATGATTCATCTCCAGCTTGTACAGAGATATGGAAGCTCACGCATACTGGCTCTATCCTAAATCCATAACAAACTGATTTTAAAATAGGCATCTGAAGCAATTCTGATGTCCTAAGAGGAATCTGTTAAATGTAAAATGTAGCCAGAAAATAGCTGATATAATGGGAATATCAAAAACTGTCCTGGGAATGGAAAAGGTAGCAAGGCCCAAATCAGAAATAATAGGCTATGGACACTGCACAGCTAATGAACATGCATGACACTCAGACAAGCCCTGGAGCTAACAGTCGGATAGATGAATCTATGCAACATTGTCCTTTGGCCCTTTAGTGTTTCTGGGAAGCAAGTTATAATTAACTCAGGCGGGTGGTCATGTTGGTGTGGCTACAGTTTCTCAGTGACACACACTAGTATCTCTGCAGTTCACTAGTGTTTTCACCATTGACACTGTTACTGCTAACAGAGCATGCCATTGACATTGAAACTTAGCTCTACCAATAAAGGAGAATCCGACTATACAAATAGGTAGAATGAAAACAATTTAACTCCCTCAAAATGAATATCTCCTATGCTTAAATCAGGAATATGGACATGATGCTCAAGTCTACCCAATACTGTGACAAATCAGGTGTTATGCTGTTAAATGAGAATTTCATGGACAGGTACGAAATGTCATGTGAAAAATAGAGTGGTTCGTGCCTACCTTCCTTTTATCAAAACGGGATATGTTTTCACCAGAAAATCTGAGATATTTCTGTGGGTCAGATCTTGAAGAATTTCTGTGCTGTGCTGCACTCTCTGTGAAGAAAGGAAAACCCAATCAGTCACAGTAAACTTTAGAGTCTCTACACCTATTGTTTGTCAGTGAAACAACAGTAAAAGTGGCTTCAGTTCAGGGCGATTGCTCAGGTTAATAGTATCACTGAAACCAGAGTGGGTTGTTCATTTTCTAGCCCAAACATCTTTACTGAGATTTCAGAAGAAATAGTGAAATCACAGAAATTTGCAATGTCTGCACAAAACAGTTGCAGTTCGCTCTGAAACTTGGCCTGAGTTATTTGCAAAGGCCAAGGTTGCTCAAGGCTTTTTCTTCACTAAAAACATAAAAGAAGGAGACCTTTCAAATAAATTGAAGGCCTAGTGAAGATAAGGTGTTCACTTTGTTCCATGATGTAGCAAGTTGAAATAAAAATTATGTGTACAAATATGCTCACCTTTACTAGCACATTAGATACACTGAACAAAAATTATTCGGTTTGTGTTTTTTTTTGTTTGTTTGTTTTTTTTTTGGTAATGAAAATGAAATCATCAAAAATCTCAAACACGTTGAGTTCATCCTAGGGTGGAATATGCTTATAAAGGTTTCAGAGTGCAAAGCTTGCAACCTGAAAATGAACTACTGTATAGAAAACAATACTAATGAACTTTCCAGAAGTTCCTACATTTGTCCACAGAGAGGTAATACTGGATGACACAGAGTGTCTGTCTTTATTCTAGATAATTAACAGGAAGATCACATCCTCCTAGTGCCTTTATTAAATGAGGTATTCATCTTTAAACATACTTCTCAGTTATTTATATACTGTTGCTTCCCTGAAGACTGAAATATAACTGTATCTTTATGACAAGTTAAACAAAATAATCATATCTTGCAAAATAATTTGGATAATATGATATTATAACAAATAAATCTCCCTTAGAGGACAAGAATCACCACAAACAACAAAAACTAATTTTGCATCCTACTTGGATTGGAAGTTTTAGATCAAATTTTCCTTGCAAATATACTAGTATGCAATTAGGAAAATTCAACTTCGGGTGTCCTTTGGACAGGGTTTACACGGAAATCAGAAATAACTTTGGATGCTGTGAATAAGATTATTTTATAACCTCATAATATAACTCTACCTTGTTTTTTGTGAATAGTGATAGCAAAACAAAAGCAAACAATTAGTATTTTTAAGAGTCCATATCATGGATTTGGATTCAGAGATCAATTAACTTTGTACCCTTAGTGTAAAAACTGTATTTTACTAAGCCATTTTTGCTAATGTGTGCAAGCCTGGCAAACAGGAACACTGGAGCTGAGCAGTGCTCATGACGAGGCAGTAAATCAGTGAGCTACTACTCTGAGAGTTGCTGCAGTTCTGTTTTCTGTAAATTGTTAGAAAAGCATGTAAAAATGCAAATAATATCAGGCTATAATTTTCTCTTCCTCTTCAAGTGAGTAAACACATTTTATAAAGTACACAACTAAGATTATTCATTAATCAGAACAGGTGTAAACGTATATCTCATCTTCTCTCTTCACAGCACCAATTGTTATTAAATTACTCATCTTCATGCACATGCACACAAACATCCATTTTTTCTAGTTTAGTACTTTCTTTCTATAAAGATCAGCCAAAAGAAATGTATACACTAATCCCTTTTCCAGCTCTCATCATGAAACTTTTTCTACAAAGATCCACAGCACAGGGACACTACCTGTGGTGGTGGGAGGCCTCCTGCTCCTGGGGGGCATTCTGGCAGCATGGTGAGTTTCTTGCGAGTGCTGCACTTGCAGGAAGGTGAAGGATTCTCAGAGCTCCACTTTTGGCTCAGCAGTAGGCTACTTAGATTAGGATGCACAACAGGGGTATTCCAGGCCGTTGCCATATTATTGCATGAGTAGTTCCTGTGTAGAGGAAGAGTGTTTTAGCTGTGCAGAAAGAGCTCACAAATCCAGAAAATCACAGAGCTTTCACCAGACACCCTCCTCTCACCTCTTATCCTGTGACTTCTGAATAACAGCAACACTTTGGGGTACTTGATAAACGTAAGTAAGTACTCCAAAGTAGTTACGTGAGTATAATCTACCCCCAAACCTCTCCCAAATTTACTGTCTTCAGCTTACAGATAGGGAACTGAAGGAACAAATGAACTGTGTTTGACTCATTAGCACAGGTAAAAAACATAGTAAGGATATACCTTCGCAAGGAGACTATCCTTCTCCTTGCTTCTTACTTATAGTATCTTCTCATTTATTCATTTATTTATTTGAAGTTTTCTCCTGGTTTCTGCTGCACCAGGTAAAGTGGAGAAAGGAGAAGAGCAAGGGAAAAACAGCCAGAAGATTCAAGCTGCTGGTTCTCTCATGGCCGAGAGAAAGGTGAGAGAAAAGGAATGGCAAAGCACAGCATGACAGGAATAAATGACTCCAAAGCAGGACTCATAGGCAGAGGAAGTGGACAACAGATGTTAAATTAAGAGCTCTAACAATGTTATCCTTACTTCAGAGTGAGAATCATTTTGAATCATAGAGACTGCCCTGTTGCTACTTCACCATCCAAGCAACTGATGAAGTTGTTGCTTCCAAAACACACCAGTGGGAACAGGAGGAACCTGAGGGGACTCACATGAGGAAAGTGCCAGGGAAGCTGTGAAGATTTGGGTCTGATTACACTGCCTTACTCACACATTTCCTGGTAGCTTAATTCCTAATACAAGGCTACATGAGCTGTCTACCGGCTATTCACATCTAGCACTGTGACTGATTCTTAATCCAGGAGATTAAGAATCCAGGAGATTAAGCAAATGTTATTTTTGACGCAATATGAGATATTCTTGCCAATAACCAATCTGAAGCATTGGCTCTAGCAACAAGTGAAGCCAATTCATTCTTTTTCCACTACTCAGGTTCTAGCAGTAATATTCTAGTAGAATCCGGTTCAACAGACATTAGCAGGCAACTTACGGAAGGGGCTGATTCTTCAAACAGCGATTTCCAAATCCGGGTTTATTCAAGAAAGCATCAGTAAGGGAGACCATCTGCTCGCTGCCTGGACGCTCATTGCTAAGGGAATAGGATAAGATTTTCTCTAGTAAAAAAGTCAAATTATTGTACTAGAATACACATAAGCAACTGCTGAAGGACACCCATATGGCAGAACTAGCTGCCACCTCTCTATGCTGATAATTAAATTATTTTGTTAAGGAAAGGCACGAAAAAAATCATACAAATTAAAACCAATAGAACCTTCCAAGATGGTTAACAGGTTAAAGCAATGGCCCTTTTCTCCTAATATTAAATTATGACTTCTCACATGCTCTTATGGCAATATTCTTCAAACAGGCTTGAATATGTATTTCTACCCTCTCAGCCTTATCACACATAGTAATTAGAAGATGAAAAATGTTCATCTATTCAAATGCTCTACGTTTTACATTTGCTGAGGCTAAAGAAACAATGTAGCTAATAGTAATGAAGTGTCTACAATTAATAGCCTAATAACACTAGACTACTGAATATTGCTATTGCTGTTTTAGAAGTATGAATATTAGATGTAGCTTTACACATTACTATGTGTAAAATACATTAAAACGTTGTGCAAATTTTCAATATAAAACTCAGAGGAAAGACTTTAAAATTATTACTGCCATCAGTTTTGTTGCTTTGTGCTAGCTGCAGTCTCATCTAAGAGTTACATATTGGAGGAAATTTCTAAATTTCCTCTGTATTGCACATATTTGGACTTGGTGCGAAAGCTCAGCTGTATAATGGATGCAAGTGAGGGTGAAGCAAGTGCCCTGAAGAGCACAGAGGAATTGTGCAGTGATCTGAAGAGGACAGAACTGAAGCTTCTATGAAGAATGAAAGGAGACAAAGTGCTAGTAGACTGAAAAAAAATAGATCCAGCCAAAGGATGAAGCATGGGGAGAAACTGCTAAGCAGCAGCATTAACAAAACCTAAGAGTCTCTGCTTTTGTTTTGTTTCCATAACTTTACAATTACTGTACCAACTATAAATAAACCTACCACAGGTCAACAGATAGGTTGAATCTTGTTCTGTAAGATTATGAATAAAGGCATGCAATGGCATACCAGATACTTACTTACTGTACTGTATCTCCTGTTAGGATATGTAACTTTTTAGGTGCTGAGGTCATGAATTCAGGTAGGAAAAAGGAGAAGAGTACCAAAGACAACACTGTATTTGAGGACTACTGGTTAGACATACTACTAGCTGTATTCCCCCACATGCACCAATTTCATGCTATTTGATGTATGCTGATTCTAGTGGAATTACTACTTTTTTATACTACACAGACTGAGGATAGCCCAGTAAGTCCCAGTATCCCAGTAAGCCCCATGATCCTAAATGCTAGGGAGAAAAGTGTGTCTATATGACAGATTTATTTATTCCTCTTACCTGAAGAAAGTAAACTGTTGTCCATAGATCCAAGGGTGTAAGGTTAAGGCAGGATATTCTCCAAATGGAGGAATAATGACTGTAAGCATTAAAGACAGCAACACAAAACTAGCAGGGAGAACAATCTGCAGGGGACATGAAAACACCACACTAAGACATATGCTGCAGAGTGACATTGTACGCAGCTTATAATATATGTAAATGAAGGAGGGACAGCAGGAGCAGAGATCTAGTTTAGCTCCCAACCACCATCTATTTCTGCTTACTTGTTTACTTCTAATGCTTTCAGTTAAGACTGGTTGTCACAGAACTGTACTGTGTTAAAAAGAAAATGCTGGGCTAGTAGTGATTGAATCCTGAATTTGGTGAGAATGACAGATTACAGGCAGAAAGATAGAGACAGAACAGCTGGAACCATAGATTAGAAAAGCAAGGGACCTGTTACCTATTTGCAGCACCTCTGTTGCTTTGCATGGAGACATTACCAGGAAAGACAGTGTTGAGAACATTATGGGAAAGAGTCAAGGACACCAACAGTGAGTCAATACCTGGGCTAGGAAGTCCTTGTGGCTGCGGGAGGCATGGTGGAACCGTTTGATGAACAGTGCTTTGATCTGCTGATGTACAAGCTGAAAACCTTTATACTGCCGGGACCCTTTGCCTTCATTTTGATCTCCTGCTATGCCTACTGGCATTTGAGAAGTGTCATTGGTTTCCAGAGGGTTTTTTTCAGCTGTTTTATTCTCAGTAGAAATTTTGCCACAAGTAGAACCATTTTCTTGATTGTCTCCTAGGTTAAAAATTGCAATTAATAATAGGAATTACCCTGATGAAAAGGGGCAGAGAAGACACTTTATTCTCCATACATGAAGACAGCACAAATGTCTTACTGAGCTCAAGATTTGATCGAAAGTATATATCACATCACCAGATTACTTTAATTATAATTGTTACAGTGTGGCTGTATCCAGTAGCATCACATAGATTATACACTTACTCAGCAGGATGAACTAGTTATTAATGTAGATAGTTTATGGACTTCTAGGCAACACAATACTACCTATAAAAACCACTGACATCTGGGGGATGGACACTACATCTTTATTTACACAGTTATGGACCTGATCCAAGCAAAATAAAAATATTTCTGCTGACTTCATCTAGTTTCTCAGACATCATGTCAGGCCCTAAAATCAGGTATTTACTGACTAAACGTATTTTGATGAGAATTCCATACATAGACTGAAAGTTCTGAGGCTCTTCTTTACTTGGCATTCGGAATATAAAACAGTTCCAAGAAAAGTTTATCAAATACTGATTCATGGATTTATACCTGCTTTTTGCATTTCAGGGCTAGCTTCTGCTGTGACCTTTAGGAAAACCTGTCAGAGACAAGCACATCTGGTAAAGAATAGAACATTAACCTGATCTCAGAAACACTATATACTATCCTTTAATGAAACAGGAAAATAATTTCAATACCTTTTCAGTACTCTTGCTTACTACACAGTCTGAGGTCTCTTATGAAATATCTCAGAAAATAAAGAAATGATCCAACTTAGACACAGAGAGAGATTTCTGGCTAATGAGTCATGCTCCACAAGACTAACACACAGTCAGATTTGGGGCCTTTCTCTATGCCCATTCCAATGATTTTCTGAGCGTGCCACACCAAACATGACTGGGTTTCGAGGGAGATGTAGGAATTAGTAAGGTTACATGCTTAAGAGCAAGAACAGTCTCAGAAAACATTCTGGGGACTGATGGTAGGACCAGCAAATATTTTGTCTGTTACCTCTTCAAGTGGAGTGTCTGAAACTCCAAAACTGCTAAGTCCCAGGTCATCCAATGTTTCCTCCAGTTCTCTGAAGAGACTGGCATAAGATCGCTGTTTAAAGTGCTTACTGGGCAACAGGTAAACAATTTCTTGACCAATGCTTTCAATTAATTTTGCTTCTGGGACATGATGATGAATTACTTCTGCTAGCTCATTCAGATCTCCTGTGAAAAGTCAAAACAGCGTTCCAAGAATGAATATTTCACCACGCTAAGCATGATTTCAAAAGCTGTTGTTTGTACTATATGAAAGGGGACTGTTCTATTATGCAACTTAAAGATATCTCAGTTAACCTGTAATAGACTGGGCCATGTTACTAATTATGGTTCTGGAACAAGGTAGCAGGAAACTATTCAGGACTGTTAATAAAGCACAACAAAATCTTCTGGAATATCTACTTAATTTCTTCTTTGACATAGAAAGCCAAAATAACTTTTTCTGAGAAAGCCAGTTTCCTTTGCTCTAGATGTGCTTCAGTTTTCATTACCAAATTGCACATTTTGGTGCAGAGTTGTTGAAAATTCACAGTAGACTTCCAAAGCACACTGAGACCACACATATATCAAACAGGGGCAATGGTATACAGAAGTGTGAAGAAACTTTATTCATTTTAAAATCCAATGCAGTTAGACAACTGCTGGAAAAGCAGACCTCAGCAGCAGTGATCGGTAAGGTGAGACTTCAGTACAACAGGAGACATAGGCATGTGCTGGAATGCTGAACCATTCCACTTCTTACCATCCAGTTCCTGCACTTGAGTTCCTTCTTTGTCCCTGTGTGCACAGCTGGAACAGGAGCAGGAGCACTGAGATCCACAGCTACAAAATGACTGGCATGGAGAAGCAACAGATAAAAGATGAAAGTGCTTCAGATACATACAAAACAGTGTATAAAGGCTGTCAGCCTTTGAACACTCTGAGTCAGTGAAAAATACATCATATCTGAAGGGCATCTGGAACATGTTGCACTGAAGGTCATCTGAGGACTGGATTAAGTAAAATAGACAACACAAATTCTCCTGCACAAACCATATTTGTCAGTTCTATATTACATGCAAATGCCTGGGGAAATGTGATCAGCAGTGGCTGTAAGTATACAGATCACGTTGGTACTAAGGCTGAAAGTGCTTCCTACAGTAGAAACAATCCAGAACTGTACTTGTCAAGCTGTGGAATGCTGCTTTAGCTGTGGATTAGACTCAACTAATATTTGAGCTAGGTACTAGAGAGCACCATGTTTACAACTATACTGCAAAGGAGGCATCAGAAAGATTGGTATACGCACAAAGGCAACTTGACAGGTAAAGGTTTTGACAGACATAACTGAGAAAAGTGAATTACAGACCACTGAAGACTTCATGTCAAGTTACTATTTTCACTTGTCCTGCTGAATATATATTTATAAAATCAGAGATTTTTACAGAGATCCTCATGTAGCCATGTAATTTCATGAAATGTTATCAAATTCTGTCATTGTTTTCTCCATTTTGAAGTCAGTTTTGTACAAAGCCTCAAGCAGTGCTTGATTGCTTTCTACCTTGGTACAGTGCACGCATATGTATTTTTCAGATTTCATGAGGAGGGAAGCACACACTTACTGCATTCCTTGCAATTCTGGTGTTTTTCATCTTGCGAACAAGAGTGAGATAGAAGCCAGATCCAAAGCAGTTCTTAAGGAATACCGGGGAGCCTGAGCAGAAGAGTTTTCCTTGAGATATGATAGCTATCCTGTCTCCAAGAATGTCTGCCTCATCCATGTGATGGGTGGAGAGGATGATGGTTCTGCCTAGAAGGAACAAGTAAGAACATTTAAGGGATGACCTCTCTTAGGAACTCAAAACAGTGCATAGTTTTCGGCAATGAACGTAGGATTTTCTCTGCACCAGGACCAGCACTCAGTTTGCTGCATCCATAATCGTCTGCTCAGAGAATCTTGTTTGCATATATTCCCAGCATGCAAACTTTCCAGTACCTAAAGGGGGCCTACAGGAAAGCTGGGGAGGGACTCTTTGTCAGGGAGTGTAGTGATAGGACAAGGGGGAATAGCTTTAAACCAAAAAAAGGGTAGATTTAGATTAGATCTCAGAAAGAAATTTTTTACTACGAGGGTGGTGAAGCACTGGAACAGGTTTCCCAGAGAAGCTGTGGATGCCCCATCCCTGGAAGTGTTTTAGGTCAGGTTGGATGGGGCTTTGAGCAAGCTGGTCTGGTGGGAGGCATCTCTGCCCATGGCAGGGGGGTTGGAATCAGAAGGTCTTTAAGGTCCCTTCCAAACCAAACCATTCTCCGATAAAACAGTTTACACAGCAGGCACATGCTGTATCTATTGCAGGCTTAAAAACAAACAAACAAAAAACAACAGTTTACTCCTTCAAACCTGTTACCTGAGCGATACTTCAGCAGAAGATCCCAGATAGATCGCCTGGAATACGGATCAACTCCAGAAGTGGGCTCATCCAAAACTACCACTTTTGCTTCACCAACAAAAGCAATGGCAACAGAGAGTTTTCTTTGCATTCCACCTACCAGAGGATGGAGACACCCAGGAGTCTGAGATGAATCATGCATGTGGTAGGGATGTAATTAACACAGTTTTTCAGGGTGGAGAGAGACAAACTGATACAAGTAAAACAATACCCATCCTCAAACAAAGAAAGTTCTGCAAAGTTGGATCCATAGTCACATTTTTCTTGTGAAGTTCAAACCAACTCATTAATTATTATATATATACATATATATAATTTATTTATTTATTTTAGAATTTTTCAGTTCTGTGTTACATTTTCTGGTTCCGGCCGAAAGAAAAAGCACGAAGATCTGAGATTTTTCATATTCTTGTGTGAAACTGGCCAACTTCTACAGCTGCACTCAAGACAAAAGTGTAAGAACTCCTGACTCTGTATTCAATTCAGCTTTTGAACCTGAAACTGAAATATATCAAAATACACTGCATGCATTTTTTAACCTTTAGAATTAAAGAAGTTGCCCCTACCAAATAATGCAGTATTCTAGAGTACTGACACAAACAGGGGACCAGCATGGTCATTGTCAGAAATATGGTCATAGTCATGGTCAGAAATATGTCATTTGTCTTAAAATTATATAGACATTTTTGTTGTTGTTGTTACGTTGATGGATATAATTGTATATATTCATTTAAAAACAGCAACTTTTAAGCATATTTGAATTTGTCACATTTATAAGAAGCAGAAGCTTCAGGGACAGATTTTGACAGCTTTTTGTGCAGTCCCATTAAGCAATCTCTTTAAGAGTAAAGACCTCCCTAGTGCACAGTGATTTGGCAAAATACAGCCTCAAACAATGGAACTAAAACAATACTTGAGTTGTTCACCCACAGATGAAGAAAAGGCAGCAGAAAAAATAAACACTCAGAACAATCTTGTGGGCACCTGACAATTTCTGAGCCTCTTCATTCCTTTTATGGGTGAGGCCCATGTCTTCTAGCATCATTTCCAGCTCTTGTTCAGCTTCATCCCTGGATCTCCCTTTCAGTTGGGAATAAAACAATATGTGTTCTGCTACAGTAAGGCTGTGAAATCAGACAGAAAGGCATTAAGGCAATTTAAATGAATTAGCACAATTTTTCCAAACAACAATAAATTTGCATCTTGCTGAAGGAAGAGGGGCTACTTTACCCTAAACTTGGATCACAGATATTGTTTGGTATCAACACACTTCACTCAGCTGTCACAGGATCTTCCTTTGCCTTTTCAAATCAGAAACTGCTACCAAAGGAACAGGCATAGCAGACATCAAGCTACCTGTTTACGGGAATAAAACAGGTACTGATGTGGGCAACAGCATCGAGGAAGAAAGACTACTGTTGGTATGACTACCAACTGATGGCAGTAAATCTGGATATCATCTGAGAAGGTAGTCAACTGTCAAGTGGTAGGGCGCAACGGGCACAAAAATATCCTGCTACTGCAGTGTCAGATCAGATTTTTCTGCTTCAGGAAAAAAAAAAAAAAAGTGGCCTACATTATAGTGCATGAAATCCCAGGCTGAACTCCTGCCAACCCATACTGCAACATAAAATGCCAATACAAAGAACACCGCCATCTTCCTTGGAGACTTGTTTGTTCCCAGACAAATGATGCCAGGACATACAACAACTATATCATAGGAGTATTAAGAGTTGGAGAAGTACTTCGGTGATACAGAGGTACACCGAGAACAGAGCAAGAGAAACAACACAGGCTTTGGGGATGTGACAAGAATGCACTCTTGTTCTTAAAGCTAGTATGGACCAATACTTACTGATTGAATAGGATGTTGTACTGAGGGCACATGCCTAATTGTTGCCGAATGGAGTCCATGTGAGTTTGAATATCCAGGCCACCAATTAGCACAGTTCCAGAGGTGGGTGGGAAGAGGCCTGTCAGTATTGACCTATGAAAATAAAATGAGGGAATGCCCACTCACCCATCTTTCTGTGCTAGATTAGGAACATATCTTACATGATTCCACTAGATGGAGCATGATGACTTCTTACTATGGCCTTGATGAAACAATATTAATGAAAAGCATATGTACACATATTCTTGTCTACTGCAGTGAGAATCTTGTGGCTCAGCTAATGTTTAAAACTTCTGATAAACCTGCCTGTATGGTTTTGGCCTGCAAACGGAAAACTGTTTCTGTCAGCTACATTGTTTCAGAGTAGTTTGTTAAGTGTACACTACTCCTGTGTCTAAAATGAAGCTCAGTGGGACCAATAGTGCTTTAATGTCTCTAGCCATGCCTACTGGCTCATATCTTAACCTTTATTTTCTGGAAAATGGAAGGGGGACAGAATATTGGGTTGCAAATGGATAGGTTAATGGATTTCTCAGTTCTGAAAACTTCAAAGCAGTAGAAATTTTCGTTTTTATCAGTGGAATTGTAGAATCATCAAGTTTGGAAAAGACCTCTAAGATCATCTTGTCCAACTGTCAAGCATTTAATAAATACATTTACACAACATTTCAGCAGATTAGAATAATTTTGTTTGGGGTCAAACATTTTTCATGGAACAATTAAAATTTTCAAAGGCAATTTAAAGTGCTTTTGAAATAAAAGTCTTTTTGAATTAAAAACCTAAACTGTTCTGCTGGGGAACATTGTAATGAAACACTTCAGTTCTTTCAACATTTGGTGAACTCTTCACAGACTCATCGTTTTGTTCACCAATTAATTTTATTATGATAAATAAAGTCCTGTATAAAGAAGATTAAACATACTTAAGTCCACCTTCCTATGACTTTAGGGTTCTATAACTAAAGGAACATTTTAATCTGGGTATAGATCTTTAATATACATAACCATTTTGTCTAAAGAGCGTCTGAATTTGCATCCTTTGCACACAGACCAAAAGCATGTCTGACAAAGCCACTTAGACAGAGAAACCAGGAATATGCAGACTGTAGTAGTTTTCAAATCTTATCTCTTTCAGCCAGATGTTTCTTCCTCCTCAACTTTTGGGAGCTGGCCATAGGAAATTAATGTTGGGGTATTGGAGGAGAGAACTGCTTCTTCCTTTCTATACTTCCACTAGTGTGTGTCACAATTGCCTCACTCTCAAAGCTTTAGCCAGACCAGCGTATCTTCTCTTTGCCTAGGGGTAGCATTTCCCTGTCTGGAACAAGCTTGATGTTGTGTCAGTCTAGCCACAAGAGTGGCAGAGAAACAAGGGAACAGTGAAACGAGAAGGCCGCTCCTCAGGACTCAATAGAACACTGCTCTGGATTTGCTTCTTTAAAATACAGACTTACATGGTGGTTGTCTTTCCTGCTCCATTGTGACCAAGAAATGCTGTGATCTGGCCCTCATAAAAAGTAATATTCATCCCATCTACTGCTGGCTTGGGCCTGTTCGCAAAAATCTTCACCAGGTTCTGAACACATACTCCTGGAATCAATCCTGTTGGCTCAGGTTCACAGAAGGTATTTACTTGAAAGGCAAGAAATTAAGAATGAGAAAAGAATATAGGAATATGTGTTGATCCCAACTTTGATGATGATGACACATCAGGAAGTGTATATACCCAGTAAAACATGCCAGGGCCAGATTCTCCAGTCACACCAGTAGTTAACTGAAGCAAGGTTCCTAACTGCAGTGCAATTTGTCTAGATTCACCCAGCTATGAATGGCAGAAGAGAGCCCAGAATTGTAATGGTCTGTGGAGATGTATCTCACTAGATTAGGTGGAGCTGAACAGGCTTTCTGTTTTCACTGTGTAGCTTGAAGATTATTTGGCACTGTTGTCTGTAGATACTTAGATAGGCTGAGATTACATTAAACAAGCAGCATGTTGCCTTTCCAGCCAGGCTGAAATCTGCCATTCAAATCATCTGCCCAGCTGTGCATACTTTTACCATGATGCTTTAAAAAAAACAACATTTGCCTTTAATCCTGGTAGGTGAAATTTACCCCCTTGCTGAGGCCAGCTCAAAATTTAGGCATTACCTAACAGGAACACTACATGGGATGGCTTTCTCTCAGGATTAAAAATGCATTATTGTAAATAGCACCATCAGGAATTTTTATTGCATCAGCTTCTAGACAAAACAAACTTCCTTTGAAGTAAATTAAGCCCTTGGGCAATGTGAATTATGGGAGTTGAGAAATTTAAACTAAAGACCCTGTCCACTTTTGTTTACACAGAATACTTAAGGCTTTGTAGGGAGGCCTGTTTTGCAATTGCAGTTCACTTAAATCGTTCAGTACCCATCAGGCCTGTGTGGAGAGCAGCCAATGCCATCTGGGTGAAACCAGCCCCACCTCCATCAGTGACTTTTAAGACTGTCATTACACACAATGCTTGGGAAAAAGTCCCAAATATGTTGTACATGAGAGAGCTGCGTATACTACAGAGCAGCTGAAATAACTCATCTAGATGGGGGAGCTTTATTTGAAATAAAATGATGCTCATAACAAACTTTTTTTTTTTCTTTTTTTTTTTTTTAAAGGAATCTAGACTTTTGCCTTACTGGGGCAAATACAGACTTCCCCATATTCTCAGAAGTTGAGATGAAGGCTAGATAGTTCTGCATATACAGGCAATTGAGGTACCATCCCATTTTTTATACGTATCATTAGCTCAGTTCGTATTTGCCTGCAAGGCTCACTGACAATTTCTGAGGTAAATGCTCTGATGATCTCCCCCCCCAGTATCTGCCTAGCATCACCTGACATGCACTGGTGGGGGGGTGAGCTCCCTTTATTGGGGTGGGCCATTTCTCTATTCTGATCTTATTCCCACAATGAAATTTTGGACCATTAGGGCTTTCTTCAGAGGTGGCAGCATTTATAGGGGATATGAATGAGGCCTTTGGTGAAAGCTCTGCTTAAAGCATACCAAGCAGTTAGGCTTTATGCTGTGTCTGCCCTGCTCTGTGAACTGGTACTAATGTTGGACTGCACTGAAGTTAAGCCATTAGAACCATTTCCTATCCCACCACTCTTACAAGAAGCACCACCGCTAACACGAAGCCATTTTAGAAAGTATCGTTCGACTATACCGGCTCTACTCTTGACTTCTCTACCCACTTCCCAGTTTCTGCATGGCTGGCTGAAAAGGAAGGAAGGCTTCTTTGTGCAGTGACAGGCAAAGCCCTTCTTCTCTGGGCACATAACAGCTGGAACTGAGTACAGCACCACAAAGATAAGGCAGTACTAAAAGAAGATTGGCTGAAGTAACCTTTGCCCTCTGCCTGTCTTGTTTCTTTTGAAGTCCTGCCCTGTTTCTATTCATCCTGAATGCATGCTTTCAGTGCCTATGTGAGGCGCTCTGATGACCCCACTTTTATCTCCAGCTTCTCAAGAGAGATGTCTATAGCAGTTACTTTTGCTACAGAATCCACATCATTCCTCTGAGCATCACATGCAGAAAAGTCCTCTGGCTTCCCACAAAAGAGGACACTGGCACTTGAAAACAAGACAGGTCATTCAGGAATTCTTAGGTGGTGGCTAATGTCAGCATCAGAAGAGGCTACAGACAGACACATAGCACATCAGATAAATCCCTTTGAAACAAACCTATCCCCACAGATGCAAAACACAATGAAGACAGGCAAAGAAAGGGGGGAAGAAGGGAACAGCATTCTTCTTAGCATAAGTATTTATATTAAAGTCATGGCTCTGTTTAATCCTAGGAAGTCAATGTATGTCTCTCAGAGGTTTCCCCTTAGCAAGTACACTAACTTGTTACAGAGACAGCCTGCATTTCCACCATAAAGAACAAAACAAAACAAAAACAAACAACCCCCACACACACCAAATTACAGAGCTCTCCTGAAAGGCATGTCTTTTATGGGTATTGTCTAAAATATTCTGAGTGATCTTGAATGTAGACAAATCAGTAGGAGGGTAGCTGGGAGAATCAGTGCCTCTCCTAAACTTAGCTCTGGCAGTTGCATGCCAACCTCTTTAATAACTGCAATCATTCCTATGTTTACTTTGTTATGAAGTACTGTAAATACGGTATCTGAGAAATACTCAGATTGCTCTCTCTCCTTACTATTCATTTCATCTTTGTCCTGGACATCTGTCTTAGGCATCCCCTGCTCGCCGGGTTCTTTTTCTCGTTTGTGTTTACATTGTTTGTTTTTACCATCCTTCTCCCCCTGGTTGTCACTCTTTTCTTCTGGCTTTTCAGGTTCTTCAGATTTCTTTGTTCTGCTTTCATTTTTTTCCCCTTCCATGGCCTTCTGATCCACACAGCATTCTGACTGTGGACTGTTTTCTATATAAAAAAAAGTAAACAACATTTAGTCAAACAAAATTTATTTTCCTCTTATCTTTAGAGGTGCATTGAGGAAAAGGACGTAGTCCTAAGCCTCGAGCTCTGCAAGAGCATTAATCAAAGTGCTTTACTCAGGTTAAGAACACAGCACTTGAGGTCATCTATATTAAAATCTGCTTCACCATGTCAGAAACAGATATTTACAGAAGAAGACTGACAATTTTGCAATTATAGACTCCAGAGTAGAAGGTCCTTACTAACACAATGTATATGTTCTATATATTTATATTTTGTCCATGAAGCTCCAGACTAAATTCTTCACCACACTAAGAGAAAAGTTATAGAAGTGTTTCACAGACTTACAGGGACTGAGAAGAAGAAAACCCAATGAGAAGATTAAATGAAAAGCAAGCTGCTACTTAGGTTAAGAGGCTAGCTCCAGTCCAGAGTGAATGAGTTGGTGTTAACACAAGAATTTCTGGCTTTCCAACTTGTTCTCAGACCTTATTGACACAAAAGAAGAGTCATACAAAATCACTAGGAGTAGCAAGAACCATGGTGTAAAGAAGAGGGATCCTGAAGAAAATATACATAACAGATTCATGCTGGTAGCCTAGAATGTCACTACCATTATCAAATAGCCTGGGACTTAATTTTGTTGTGGAATTTCACCATAATTTTCTGCTATGAGAAATTCTAGAACATAGAGCTGCATAAAGTTACCAGGGGCACAAATAACTACATAAGCAACAAATGTATCTAGTCACCTAAAAAGGCAAAATGAGGGATAAAAAAGTACACCAATAAAACTAAATTTTAAAAGTACCTGCATGATTTACCAGTTTAGTTTTATTTTTCAGTCTTGCATTTTCATTATCTGACATTTTCTTATCCCATTTCCTTCCAAACACATTAGTGAACTATGACTAATGAAGAAAATGCTTAGTATTGCCCTTGAAGGAAAAGATAGGAGTTGAGAGAAGTTCTACAGCTGTTTATGTAAGCTGAGGCACACTAAAGAGTCTTAGTTCTTTAAAGAGGTAAGAATCACATGCCTCAGGAATTCATCACACAGAGTTGACCTTTCTAACTGTCCCTGCTTGAGAAAACCCAAGGTGATGTTTTGTGAAAGAGAAGATGAAATAGTACAGAACAAATTCTTAGTAATGCTCTGAGGCTAGCTGAGATAATCATGGAATAATTTAGATCAGAAGAGACTTCCAAATGCCTACAGTTCAACCATAAAAGTAAGGCCAAATTATAGCAGGTTGACTTTTTCAAAGAATAGAGATTTCACAACCTCTCTGGGCAACCTGTTACAGTATCTTTACCTTCATAGTAAAGATTTTTTTTTCTTATGTTGAATCAGAATTCCAGTTTTCCAGCTTATATCTATTGCCTCTCATCCTCCCACTGGGTACTTCTGAGAAGTTTGACCCTCTCTTAGCCTTCTCTCTTAAGGCTGAGCAGATCCAGCTCTCTCAGCATCTCCTCATTTGTCATATGCTCCAGTTCTTCATCAACTTGGTGACTCTTTGCTGAGCTCCCTCCATTAACTCAATGTCTCATTTTCACTGGGAATGCCCAAACTGGACAACATCGTACTCCAGATACAGTCTCACAAGAGCTGACTAGAATGGAATGATCACTACACCTGAACGTCTGGCTACACTCTTGCTAATATAGTTCGGGATGCAGTTGGTCTTCTTGGCTACATGAGCACACTTGTTCACGATCATGACAGCTCATGATCAACATGCTGTCCACCAGGCCTATCCTACAAAGCTGCCTACCAGCCAGGTGGTGGACTGTCTGTACTGTCACACGGGGTTACTCCATCCCAGATACAGTATTATGCATTTACTTTTGTTGAACTCTGTACAATTTCTGTAAAGTCATTTCTATAGCCTGTCATGGCCCACCTGAACAATTGTCTTGCACCCCACTGTTCCCTCCAATTTGTTATCTTCCACAAACTTGCTCAGGGTGCACTCTATTCCATCACTCAAATTCTTAAAGAAATTATACAGTATTGACCCCAATGTTAGTACCAAGGATGTCACTAATAACTGGTTCCTATTTAGGCTTTGTGCTATTGATCACATTCTAAAGTCTAGTCAGTTTTCAACCCCTTTGTTGTTCACTCAGGCAGCCTGTATCTCACTAATTTGGCTATCAGAATACTACAGAAATACATGCTGTAAGGCCTTGCTAAGGACAAGTTAGATGGCATCCAACACTCTCCTCTTGTCCAGTGATCCAGTCATCTCATTACAGAAGAAAATCAAATTGGTTAGGCATGATTTGCTCTCAGTACATTCATGCTTGTTATTTCTTATTACCTTGTCCTTCATGTACTTGGCTTCCAAGAAGGATCTACCTTATAACCCAACCAGGTACCCAGGCTAGCCTCAACAGACTTCAGCTGCAGAAAGGACTGAAAATTTGTGCCTTTTTTTCTCAACAGTGAACTATTAGATCAGCTCAGATATCTGATATAAATTCACTCACAAAATAAACTCTTGGTTTCACTTAAGCAAAATGTTTTATCTAAGCAATACGAAAAATACTATTAAAAGCTAGCAATAAGCTAGCAAAAAGCAGAAGCCATTGGCTCTTCTGTTGATGACCTACCTGAGCAACTGAATGTTTTGGCATTTTCATGCCTAAAAAATCATGTGTCCCCCTTGTACTGGAAATACATTAAAGAACACAGAACTTAGGAGCCATTAAGATAACCAGAAAATAGATTTTGTTTTTACTAAATTTAGGTTAAATTAAGTAACTAGAATATATCAAAATCCTATAAGCAAGTGTGCTCCAAATCTGAGATACTCAAAGGAGCTCTGGTGCCCAAATTCCAAAGAAAGTCACTGAGATGTAGTGACTGACATCTTATCTGTGCCTTCAGGAATTCCTCATTCATCTATAAACATATTCCAAGTCCTCCTTTGGCTCTTTCCTCCTCCTTCCTACACACATTTCAATTGGGTGGGTAGCAATTGCAAAGCAAAAGCAGATTACCAGGCTCCATAATATTTAGACAAGCCTCTAACATTCTGAATACTCTCACAGCTAGCCTAAAGGAAAACCTGCTCATTCTTTCAGAATGCACCATAAGACAAAGCCTCTTCAAAGAAAACAATGTTATAGCTTCCTCTTTCCTGATCAAAAGATGTGAGCAGTGGATGTATTATTCAGCATGTTCACAGAAAGGATTAACTCCCTTCTGGTCAAAAAGCATCATCCTGAAATGAGACTGCCTTGTCAGCAGTCTGAGCTGATGAAGGGTAAGGGTGGTAATAAACAGACTGAAGAAATGATTTCTTTATCTGTCATTTTGATTGGTTTTGCTGTTACTTGTAAAACTAAGACAGGTTTCAAAACACTACCTTCAGCAAGCCTCTACTCCAGACGTTAATCATCATTATGCATTAATTCCAATTTAAATACAATCACCCACATGATGTGCTTAACTACTCTACTATCAATACACAGACAAAATTATACAAAAGCAAGATTTCTGCACTTACTCTAGTCAGTCCAAGGGTGTCATCAATTTTGATCTTGCTTACAAACCCAAAGGAAACAGTTAAATTAGTCTGAATTAGAAAAGAATTAGGTTCAGAAAGGGGAAAGGCCTTTAGAAAAGGGGATCCTCAGTGTAAATAAGATCAACTCTGTATCTCATTTTGACTCATTTTACGAATGCCGTGTTGTGCAATAAGAACTCCTTGAATGTCTCAAAAGGTGTTAGAGAGTGGGAGTCTGATGGTGCTTGTTAACCCATGATTTAAAGGCTCTAAGATGGAACAGTGACTCACTTCTAGCAACTCCAATAATAGCAGGCCACTCCAAGTTCAAAGGCACCTGCTGAGATTCCCAGTATATGTCTGTCCCTAATCTTTGCAGCAGCTCATGTAATGAAAATATTACGCAGTCACCTCTAAGCAGATCAGTGGTTTTGAAGTTATTTCTAAATATCAAAGTTTTGAAAGAACTCACCATCAATAGTTGCTGGTTTTTCAGCTTTTGGGTTTCTAGAGCCAAACCAGTAAGATTCCTGCAAAGGGAAATACCAAGGCTGTGGTAGCCCATAGTCCCCTAGAAGAAAAATAAGAAGGTGACATGTACTTTATAACCACATTCCTCAGTGGGCACAAATTCATCTAGACACAGTCTGAACTGTAATTACAAACACTTGCAGTTGCCTTAGTAGTCATATTGTTACATATCGGAGGTCAAACTGCCCACCTGTCAGAACAAATTTTGTTTGAAATTATTATTATTATTAGCCCAGGAGTAAAATATTCAGAAAATATAATCTGATTTACCTTAAATTTTCTTAAGTAGAATGTGGTTTAATTACAGAGTGAAGCTACTCTCTACCTGGGGACAATGAAACCAATCAACAAACCAGCAGCTGCCAAGGAACATCCTGATTGCTTAAGATGGGATCCCAGCCTCACTCAATAATTTTCTTTAAATGACTACTTGACAGTTGAGGCATTGGGCCTGAACTCTCAACTTGCAATGAGAAAAGAGACTCTAGCTGTTCTTTTAGCACATAGCCTTCCAGGAAAAATGAGACCAGGAAAAAAGCAGATCTTTTCTTAAACAGAAATGGGCCTTTTTTGGTCACAGGCTAACTCTGTTTTGAAAAAAGAAAGTATGATAACATTATCCATTCTTGTTGGACCAGACTTGAGTCAGTGACAGTCCATACTGTTTTCTTGGATTATACTGATTTGCAAGTGGATATTGCATAGTGATAAGCAATGGAAATTTGTGATGCTCACTGATAGATGGTCATTTTTTCTGCATTGAAAAACACTTTGTGAAAGTGTCTGCTTATTTTTGACTTAACAAAAATATCCTTTATGTCAGGCAACCACTTGTACTCCCATTATGCACAAAAACGCCCTGTCTGAATTCATAAACAGTTTGCCTTGCACTTGTTACAGACTGGATTATATCCCTTTGAAGCTGGTAGCTAAAACAACTGCTTCTCATTCAGGATGAATGCAAAAAGCCAAGTGAACTCCACTACGGAGCAGAATGCTTAAATAGCCAAAATAGCAGTGTGCCAATGGGTGGTTTCTTGCAGAGAAAACTTGAGCAGGAGATGAACCATATGATTCAAGCGATTATCCAAGGAACTCAAATAGTAAGTTCAAATACTACAGCATTGATTTGCTAGGCCTACATGTGTGTAAGAGAGAAATGCTATAAGAAATTTCAGAGAAACAGAGAAGTAGAAAGCCAAGGAGACACTCAGAACAAACAGTGAGTGGAATTGAACATGCTGAATAGAATCTCTGAGAAATATTACTTTTGTGTAAAGTGCTGGCTAAAAAAAAAATAGACTTGGAAACATGAGCAAAGAAACTCTCTCCTGTTGTTTAATTCTTGCTTTGTTTGTGGAAATAATACATTGTCTACCCTTGTTTAAATAAACAGGGATGCAGCACAGGCTTGTCCAAAAAGTGACTTTTATGAAAGTTACTGCATATCAGCTTTGAAAGTAAATAAGATAATTTCTGTTAAACTTCTTTGGGAGGACACATTTCTTATAAACCAAAATGGTATTAATTTGGTGTAGCATAGACCACTTTGAAAGGGACACAAACAAAGCAGAATTAAGGCCATTTAACAATTATGGAAGCAAAATATCCTCAAATACATGTGAAACAATTAAAAAAAAATACATATATTGTTTTGGATTAACTATCAGTAAGTGATGTGTACAAAGTACAGGACCAGAAAGTATATCACCTTTCTTTTTCTTTCCTTCATTGCCATTATTGTCAGAACTAAAATGGGAGAAAGGAAAAAAAAGGAAAAAAGTCGAAGTCCTTAATAAACCCATGGTGCCATAATGGGTAAGACTCACAGTCTACAATGTCAAATACTCTGGTTTTGACAGAGAAATACTCAGAGACTGACTAGACTAATGTAACTTACAACAATTACCACTACTTCATATGAATAAGAAATTGACATACCTGGAAAAACATTATCAAGGTACCAAGAAAGTATTCCATATAGAAAAGCATCAAAAAGCATCATTTTAATGGAAAACAGAAAACTATATTCATCTCCTTCCAAGGGACTGGTTCTGATGTTACCCCACTGTAGGCCAAGACCTTGTTCTTCATAGCGCGACAAGTATTCTGTACCAAAACCAAAAGCTACTTGAGAAAGTAAACTCTGGAATAAAGAAAAAATGAACTCATGAACTCAGACAGAGAGACATTTTCTAAAGCAAGCAAAAAACAAAAACAAACAAACAAACAAAAAAAAACACACAAATACCTTTGGGGACTGGACTTCAAAACTCAATAATGCCTAAAAAATAATCAGGAAAAGTGCTTTCACTTTGATATCAGACTGGAATGTCTAATCCTCTGAATGGTGACAATTCTAAGCAATATTTAGCCATAACAGACTGAATTCAACCTTGGCCCCACTTTATTTAGCAACAAAAAATCCTTCAAGTACTTTATTTTCTATAAATGTCTCTGTTCAGAAAATACTATATATTCATCTAGAAGTTTGCAGTGTATACTTTGCCTGTATTGGAGAAACAAAATATCTGAGTGTATGGGGCAGGGACAGTGTGTGAGTAACAAGACAAAGTATACCAGATGCTCGGGATAAGGAAATCTGCAACCATCCCCTTCCCTGCCATGTCTGCTACTGTTTTTTCACACAACAAACTAATAAACCAACACAGCATCCAAAAGCTGTCTTCAACGTTGCTCTGCAAAGACACATAAAGAAAGGGCATGGTGCTGTTTAACAGGATATGTAATTCAGCCAGGAATGACAGACAAGAAGGATCCTGACAGCAACTCCCAGTGAGGCATTATCACAGTGTGCTAAGTAAAAAATGTTTGGTTTTCAGCAATCGTTCATTGTTCAATTACTCGTCCTAAAAATGTTACTTTTAATTCAGACCCCTCTCCACATGCACAACTCCCCTGTAACTCTTGTAATTAGCTGTTCTTCAGAGGCCAACCTTTGAATGACAAATGTAAGACCAAACATACTAGGAGCAGAGAAACGCATTTATGGCTTCTGGCTAACAAACAGTCTTACATTGGTCCCCTCTCCTTCACTTTAGGGTGAGAAAAGAGTTATCTTTATGTTAAACTGTGTACAATTTCCAAAAAGTAATCTTTTTTCCTTCTCAAATCAGAACCTGTCATGGGCCAACTCTACTCATTTCCTTATAAAGGCTTATCCACTTGCAATCTCTAAGTGTTTCAGGGGTGTGTCTCTCTCTGAATCAAAAAAGCAAAGGCAAGGAGGTGTGCAGTTCTTTGTTACTCACACATGGATAGCAAGAAGGGCATCTTCAATATGAACCCCAAAATACCATATAATGAGTGAAAGGCTTACTGCTAAGATCTTCAGATTAACAGTCATGCGGTCTTGCCAGACAAAGCAGACAATGTGAGGCAGGTACAAGGTGAAGTACAGGACTCCACTGCAGGCAGCTGCCAGATTTGCTTTAGAGAAGAAGGTGCTGAACAAGAAGCACTGCATTATGGTGGCTGTAGTGAAGGTCAGTAGGAATAGGAAGAAGAGAAGTGGACTGCTGTAATGTAGGACTTGGCCGCACTGTAGGCAAAAGAAAAACAGATGAATTAGAAGTACTGTCACATTTTGAACTAGCAGAAAAGGTCAGAATTGCCACTGACACATAACCTCTGATAAGCAATAAGCCAGTCTTTCTTACCCAATACATCTATCTTGCCCAAGAGTAATGTTTCACTACTTGAAGTCATTACAAAAACAAATCCTTTATTTAACTTTATCCCTGCTTTTGAATTGTGACTACAGGTCAGTACCACAGGCTGCAATGTTCGTATTTGTATTTGATAGCTGAGCGAAGTTCATAACTGATTGAAAACACATTATGTCCTTGTCTTTATATGCAAATGTGTCTAAGCAAGATGTGCCTGCATGGAAATTCACACATTTTAAATAAAACTATCTGAACTGTCGTAAGAATTTTTCATTGATCTCTTCTTATCTTCTCCTCAGTCCACTTGCTCATATGTAAGAAAGATGATGTAAGGAAGCCTGACAAAATGCATCTTAAAAAAAAGGTAACAGGAAAATTACAAAGTATTTCTTTCTGCCCCTAAATGATATTCAAATTCCAGAAGGCTATCACAGCCGAGGAATCCAACTGCAGTTTCTCTGAACTAATTGTGTATTAAACAACCCTCTGGATGAACTTCTGACTTTTCTTCCTTTAGAGCTTTTGTAGATTGAACATGCCCTCTCAAAAAGAGCATGGACTGCTGCTGATTTTTTATTCTAAAAAAAAGCTGAGACCTATTTATTAGTCTCAACATTGTTTCAAGCCTTACAAAAGGTTCAGAATAACTCTACAAGGCTATAAATTAGTCTCAACATTGTTGTACTATACCAGTGGGCCTGTGAGACTGATTTCTTTATCAACAAGGATACAGTCTCTTACAAGAATGTATTTACAAATTTGCATCCCACTGACATAGTGAAATTCAGGAAGGGAAGTGAATTATAGGTATAAACACATTCCTCTCTGGTATTAACTACATCCTGATTTTTAATTAAACCAGCATAGCAAATGAAGGAAGGTTTCTCTATCTACCCAAGCTATAACGAAACTGCAAAGAACTAAAACGACACCAGGGCTGGTTGATTAGATAGAGTGGATTCAATTATAACTACACATTTATACCAACAACAGCTCCCCACATTAGAAAAGATGGAAGGGCATTCTTGCCCATCAAAATGTTACAGATTTATGCAACTGAATAGAGCAGCCAGGAGACACTTTCTCAGGGAAAAGAGGTAGGAGGTGGGCCTCAAAGACAAGAACCAAATTGCTCTAAAATATGACAAAAATAACTGCAATTCTGAGCCACAGAAGCAAAAGATACTTTTTTGTTTTCAGTCAGGGAGGGAAATGTTGAGGCTGTTCTGTCACTTTTTGCATTGCAATAGTGTCATAAATTCTAAGTAGGCAAGCACTGAGTATTATAAATGAATCACATATGGTGAATTTAAGATTAAGACTCCTCATATTATGACCCCTTCTATTTAAAGCAATGATTAATATTTATTGGGACCTTTGTCTGTAGGAAATACAATACATGGAGTAATTGGCTTGACGGATTGTTCTGCGGGAGCTCTCACAATAAATCTTACTGGTGAATTTATCTTTCGGTCTCTGCTAAGTGCTCATGCTGTCATGAGGTCTGCTTACAAGAATGTGTCTGCTAAGTGTTGTGATCAGAACAAGCCACCAGCTGTTCCCTACGAATGGCTCCTATACCTACCCAAACTGGTATCACCAATGCAAACACAACAGGGAGTTTGGGAGTTTCTACTGTCTTTCCTGCAGTCATTCTTACCATAATTAGTGCTGTGAGGAGGAATGTGCTCACAGCCATCATGACGAAGCTGTCTAGGAACCAAGTGCACCAAATTACCCCATTGGTGATGCCCCTGTTCTTCATTGCCTCCTTCAGACGCATTTCCTTCTCCAGCACTATACTTTTCACAGTCATGGAAACGGAATATATCCAAGCTAGCACCATGAAGATGGGAAAGGAGCGGTTTAGGGTGATCATAAAGCTACCAAAGCAAGAAGAGATGATGAATAATATTTAGGTAAAGCAGAGAAATATTAAGATAAAAAGCAAAAATGAAAAGGAAGAGGACTGGGGAAGAATGCATACATTAAACATGGGACTGGAAATTCTCAATCTAAATTTTAATAATATGTTACTAGTGAACTTCACAAGCAACCTAAGTACTAATGAATAAATTGTTGCTTCACTTCCATGAGATAGATAAATGTCATTTCTGTTTTACAAAGAGGTCCTAAGAGATGCTAAAAGGTACACAACATGCAGTGGGGCACAAAAATGTGTCTCTCTTCACAGCGAATTGCCACAATGTTTTTACTATGGTGTACAAAACAAAAAAAAACACTTTAAGACATATGCTAATACTAATGATTTGGGGGTGTTGCTGTCTTTTTATGCTCCCAGGTGTCACAATTTCAATGAAATTACCTTGAAGCCCAAGTGGACTTGATTGGCCTTAAAGGTCAAGAGCTTAGAGCTACTAAAAACTAAAAGGAGCAAAAATCATTCAGGTTTCCAAAACTGAGCTCTACAGAACTACATTTTTGCCATATATTATCATAGCTACTTCATGGTCTAAACAAATGGAAAATTGTCATTTTTTTCACCAACAATTCCCACAGAGCAACTTGACCTCCTGAAATAAAGCCATGTTTTTGTGGAATGGCCTTGGGCACAATAGGTTTTCCCTGTTGGTGGACCCATGCAACCCAGCACTAGACCATGCACACTGCAGCATACATGCTCAACATGAGGATGTATTTGCTTCACTTAAGTAGGCTCTCTGCAGAGAGTGTCACTGGATATCAGCCCCAAAATGTGTATGGCTGCTGCAAGCTTCAGAGAACTTTTACATATGTGAGGTTTCTGCCCTACAGTGTTCACAGTGGGGAGGACATAAACAGCAGGATTGCCAGGGCAACTTTTTGTCAGGCTAACAAGTAATGACAGGTTAAATCATGCGCCTGCAGTCTGCATTTATCTGAAGTACTAGCATTTGCCTGCACAGAACATACAGACAGAACTGTGTAATGATTTCTATAACCTTTTTTTTTTTTTTTTCCTTAAGTGAAATTTATACCAAGACAGTTGCAGCAGCACAGCATTGGAACAGGCACACTGTGAATGCAGAAGTGGCAGCACTTCATAAAATGTGGAGCACATGTGCTGGTTGAGGCAGTGCTAATGAAGGTCATAGCAACCACAGATGCTCCAAGGCCGACGTAGTCATGAAATCTCCACGGCCAGGAGGTGCTCTTTCTCTCTTCCTCTCCCTCCCCATGCCTCCCGTGCCTTCCCTCTTTCTTTCATTACAGAGCAAAAAAATTCTTTCTCCTTTAGCTTCTTTATTCTGTTCTTCACCAAGGAAAGAAATTATTGGAATCCTTCACTGGAGTTATGTGAGATTTAAGACAAAACCAGTCAGTCTCAACAAAAATCCATGGATGAGAATTAGGGAAAAAGAAGGTTAGGTAAGATCAGATAATTGCTGAAAACTGTAACACTTTCAAGGAAAGGAGAAGGACTGATGTTAACAGAAACCAATGCCATACAACCAGCTTTACTGTAGGTACCTGTGATTTAGTTATAAACAGGTAAATATTTACGGATGTGGTTAGGATTCTGGAAAGAGAAAGTTTCAAGAGCCTAAAGTGTCTTGAGATTCTGCAAGGCCTGTAGAAAGCTGCATATCTTCAAGGAACAAAAACTACTGCTGTTATATCTAGATATGAATAAGTCTAGGGTTAGGGTTTGGTAATACACTTGAAGAGATTGGGTTGTTGGATTCTTCAGAACATACAATGACAGAAAGAGAGGTACCAATTCCACCGGGACAAGCAGTGTTTGTTCAATTTTTCTTGAAGAAACAGTACTTTTGATATAAATAAAGGTGGGTTTTAGAGATATAATTAGGGGAAATAGCCTTACAATGCTTTTGTGGGTTCCACATGGCTAACTGAAGGAGGCAGTCTCGGTTATAACACAGGTTAATGCTCTATGTTCAGTTTTCCTACCGGTACTGGTCATATGTTAGAGCATGAAGCTCAGTGCTAGAGTTATATAAAAACAAGTATTAATCAGAATTTAAAAAATAACTACTCTTACTCACACATCATCCACAAAACATGGATATGGCATTTGCTGCAGATAAATTCCTATTGGCACTTCAGTGTTGGTCTGGGTCTTTATAATCCCATGCTCAATCATGTCTTGGAGATATGCAAAGCCTCCCCATATGTAACGTAAATCATCCACGGGATCGGCTCTTGGACCAGGATCCCAGTACCTAAAAAGAAAATTCACGTGGAAATCATTTGGGTAAACAGTGACTTTAAGAAATAAAATAAAATGAAATAAAAATTAATTACTGAAATTGTATGGGCACTGTCTGGAGTTGCCCCTTCCTGATAGATTTTGGTCTATCAGACCAATAGTCTGCTTGACTTGCTTGAGAAAGTTTATGACCTGGAAAGTTCTTCTGTTTCCTTTATTTTTTTCAACATTTATGCAGAATAGCAGTTTTGGCAAAAAACATGTATAAAGTAATTGTGTATCAGAGTTACTGTTCTAGAATAGAAATATCTGTATTTGTAATACAGTATCCTTGGAGACTGAACTGGAACAGTGGGGTCGCAACCATCAGACACTATTATATTCACTATTATATTCCTTTATATAGACAACCCTGAGAAATCATTTCTGTTAACCCTTTAAGAAGTGAGTCCATGTGAAGGGGAACTTGAGGAGAAACAGCAGAGAAATTCTGCTGGCCACGTAGAGGAGAGCTGGGTCACAACCTGTGTGGGACCTCCTTGTTCACCTCTCCCAGTAATAGAGCCAACTGAAAACTTGGGGCAGGTTACTGAACAGAGCCTGAGCAGAGCCATTTCCTCTGCCACGTATCCATGCATCTACCCATTGCCTGGCCTAATTGTCACAGGAGCAATACCACTGGTGCTTGCTATCTGGAGATGGATTCTATTCTGCATTACATCTCAAATACTGCTAAATGCAATTGAGTTTCATGCATGTATCCAGGGCATGTTCTAGTGTCCCTTTATTTCTCCTATTCAAAACATGGCAGGCAAGAACTGAGAAGGAACCGTCACCTACCTGTCTTTGATTTTGTTTGTTTTCTCCACTGCATCTATGTCCATCCGGATCTTGTATTTCACATGTGGTGGAAGACTGCTTGCTATAGGCTCTATATCTGGAAAAACCACACCAGCCCAGAATTTGTTTTCCTCTAGCAGGTGAAGGGCTTGATGAGTCAGCTGGGTTTCATCATGATAACCTTCAAATTTATCCAACATCAAACACTACAAATAATCACAAAGAGAACAATTGCACTGGAGTAAGTTAGCAAAAGATATGCATTAAAGAAAACATCGGTGGCTAACAACAAAAGAGGAAGATAGGCTCATTTGAAGTAGTTGCCATTTCACTGCAAGGGTATACAAAAAAATCAGAAAAATAATTAGATTTAGCATCAAAATGGAATCTCTTAATCTCAAACTGGCAATAAACCTGTGTGAAGAAAGATTGTAAACTACAAATTCTATCATTGTTTATCTGTAAAATTGCAGGCTTAGGTTTGTATCTTCATCTTCTTCCCTTCGGAATCAGCAAGACATTACCAGAGAGTAGTACTTAACTCCCTAATGGACTGAGAAGATATATATTCAATTGTCTTCCTTCATAAAATGCCATGACGCTAGCTTATTTGATCTTAAATATTTGATCTAATCTTCTTGATCACCTCTTGCAGGTCAATAACCAAAAAATATTGTACACCAAAGGACTCATAAAGGCAATTTGTTATTTTACAGACATCCTAAAGACTCCTTTGTTTAACTCTTCCCTATGATAAAACACATTTTGTTGTTTAGAAGTTGAAGTATCACTGTTTAATGGTATCTATAGTGGAAATACATATTTAAACTGGCAAAAGAACAAAACAATGTTTAAGTTGACAAAATTGTTTTGTAGCTTTGTGACACAGCATCCCATTTTGTAAATGTTGGTTCTTCTAGTTTGCTTTATAGGATTGAACTGCATAGAATTTCCTATCAGAAAGCAAAATAAGGCAGAAAAAAAACTTTCTGGTTTGTATTGCAGAGAAAAATTCAAATTAGACTGGTGTCTATAGTTTTTGTTGGTGGTGGTGTTTTGTTTTGTTTTTATATGTTTATGCCACATATTAAACTGAATTCTGGTACTCAGTTTTGTTAGTCCCGCCATGTGACTTTGTCTTCGTAGCGTCATTACTGTGTCTTTGCAGTGTCTGATGGACTATTAGCTATTTCTTTGTGATGAAGTGGCCTGGAATTCTGTTCAAGAAACTTTTACCAGCTGCAAGTGATCTTGTCTAGATTTTCACTGCAGAATGCATAGTGTCTCAGCGACGCTGAGGAACAGTACAGGCTTTACCCAGGTGTTCAATAAAGGAAGTAGCATGGATTCAAAAGAGGAAACAAGTGCTTATGGTTTTCCTTGAGAGCAGAAGGAAATTAAAGGCTGTATAAGAACACAGGCTAACACACCAATGGTGCAATAATTGAGCCTGTTTGGAAGTGGAAAGAGATTTTATATTGTAGTCTACTAGCCAAACACTAGAATTTTTTAGCTTAACATTAATTGAATTCAAAACAAATGCTGTATGCTCTACCTAGGCTTTTTTTTTTTTTCTCAGTGAATTGCAACACAACTTGTGCCTTCAGAAATATTACTATGTCAAAATTAAGTCATCTTCCACTTACTGAAATTTATTTCACATCTTATCCCAGTAATTATTTAGTAATTAAAAATGGCCCCAAGAAGATCAGAAAACCAAAACTAAAACACCAAGAAGAGGGTTGGAATATGAAAATAGAAGTATAAAGAGGTGTTTAGGTTTAGCTGCTCCATGGCCTAAGGTAACCAAAGGGAGTAACAGGAATTCTTGGTGTGGTGAGGATAAGCAGCTACTTCATAACTTGTGGGATTCTCAGCTGCACCACAGAAATCTGGAGTCTCCAAAGACAGCTGCTGGCAGCACACCTCCTTCATTGTATACTATGGTGAGGAGTAGGGTGTCCTTGAAAAGGAGCTGTTTGTTCCCATTGTGCTTGGCACAGTGTGAAAACATTCTCAAATGGTAGCAACTCAGTGTAAACAACAGACTTAAAATAATTAACTTATTACGAAGAACTTTAGGACCCTAAGATCTATTACCAGGTATAACAACTGCCCTGATATTGGCCACATTCTACCACTGATCTTCAGCAAAGCAATATATTTCACCCAGCTTGAGTAAGAAATAATTCTGCTAACATCATCAGAAATAGCAGAGCTTTGTGCATAAGTCTTATTGCTCTCTGTTGTAAGAGCTATAAGAAGGCAGATAAACCTTTAGTTTCTGCCTTCTTGCAGAGGACAGATTGTTTTTTAATCTGAACTTGACCAAAATCAGGAGAGCTAGGCTTGCTCCTGTTACCTACAATTAGTACCAATTTTCTCTGTAAACTTTAGGCTCAGCATATTCAACCATTAAATAACTACTCTTCTTCCAGAGGTGCTGTGCAATATAATTAATCTCTGTAAAGACTCTGAACCTCAGGTGGGAAGTACTAAATACAGAGTCCACAGGTATTAATATTACTTATAAATGCAACAGTTTTTTAAACTCTCAGAGTTAATCTGCAGCACTGCAGAATCCACTAGTTTTGTCCGGGCTTGTAAATTTACAAAGAGGAGGCATCATTTCATTTATCGAACTCAGCAGGAATGCAGACCATATCAGGTCCAGTTCCCAACACATCTTTACCTGCAGTCAAAAAGATGTAAGATGAAGAATAATTCCTTGTGTCACTTACCTGGCTCTGGGAAGCAATGGATGTAGTGGTTTGTCTGGCCCTCTAAAAATATAATCTTTTTTTGCACTGGATTTATTAATCTGTGTCTGATGAACTTATCAGTAAGATAGATCATTCATCCCAGAATAATCTCATAAAAAGTATCTTCCAAAGTATTTTTTGAATGGCTTTATATTTTCATCTACGTTTTTAGCATTTCCTATTTACATACTTAAACTTCATGTCACTTTCTGCATTGTGACTTTCAAAAATCTTCAGAGAGCCCCAGTAAAAACATAGCACTCCTAGAAAATGAGTGCACAGATTCCAGGAAAGAGAGAGACATCTTGTCAGAAGAGGCTATAGAACAAGTAGAAGTTTTCTATTGGTTTTGATGTATTTTTGATCAGGTGTTCAAAATCCTGACATTGAAATTTCCAACAAAATATTAGCTTCTCTGATGATGGTCATTTTGAAATTAGGGGTCTGTCAGTTATCAAATACAAAAAAAAATATATTTTTTTCTTCAAGGAAAAATTCACTTCCTGCTTCTTAGTAACAAAATGTGTTCAGACATTCAATCAACATTTTGAATGTGAGAGGTAGCAGGAAGAGGGTAGTGAAGCACTGGAGCAGGTTGCCCAGAGAGGCTGTGGATGCCCCATCCCTGGAGGTGTTCGAGACCAGGTTGGATGAGGCCCTGGGCAACCTGATCTAGTGGGAGATGTCCCTGCCCATGGTAGGGGGGTTGGAACTAGATGATATTTAAGGTCCCTTCTGACCTGAGCCATTCTATGATATGGTATGATTTAGCAATTGTCAAATGTAAGCTTTTTCAGAATAAAAAATATATGTGTTCTTGTTCTACCGTATTATTTTAAAACATTTTGTTAGTATTGAGATGAAATTTGAAACAAATGAAGATGCCTTATACTTTCAACTTTCTCGTCTATTGCCACAGACCCCACGTACTGCCTACTGTGCTTCAGGATATTCTCTAGAATGATTCCTGGCAGTGGAAGGGCTGACCTTACCTCCAGATACTGACTGAGCAAACGCAGAGCTTGGTCTACAACACTGAAGATGTTCCGCCAGTCAAAGTCCACCATTCCCTTCTCCCTGGTCCCCGGAGACCCATTGTGGAGAAAGTTGATAATGTGTTCAGCAGTTAAGCCTTCAGCACCCATCTGTCTGTTCAAGAAGTCCCTCACTGTAGGGTGCTTCAGAGAGTCCTGTGGAAATACATCAGAACAGCTTCACTACAATTATTCTCTTCACATGCTGTGTTTCACCAGAAAGTTTTCCATTTCCACAGCTCTTTCTGAGCTACGAAGTAGAACAAAAGGGTATGTTAAGGAAGGAATTTTATAGATGGGTAATTGTACAGCTGAACAGGTGAGAATTGAAGACTAAATGAAGAGAAATTTATCCTTGACTATTGCATATTTTTTCCACATAAGCAAGAGGATAAATGTAATAAATGTTGAATTTAAAAGAAATAAGTATGGCAAAATAAATGTTTTCTTCAGTATGAACTTCTATAAAAACTCCAACTACAAACAATACTTGCATCCAGAGTCAGATCTAAGGGAAGAGGAACTAAGTAATTTCCTAAGTCGGTAAATTGCTGGCTTCAGAAAAAACATGGTTCTACTGCCTTCTTTGTCTATGTAGAACCCTAGAAAATCAAGTTGGTTCTTCTGCTGTTCTTCCAGGACATTTTGCAGAGGCCAAGTGGTGATTGCTGTCTTTATTAAGAAATCATTAGCAGACTGAAGAGAGTGTCCAGATCTGAGGTTCTGTCACAAACTCTTTGAAATGCATATAAGACTATCCTTCAAAACAAGCTCAATAACCAGTCCAACAACTTTAAAAGCTACAAATTCCTTGCTGCAAAGGCTGTGCTTCCAGCCAGACCTTCAAAAATAATTAGCTTCTTAATTAAAGTATAGGATGGTGAAAGGCCACTCTTACTGAGGCTCTCTGCTAGGTTATAACATACACGGATCATATTCATTTGCAGGCTGTTTTGAAAGAAGTACCACAACTGTGGTCCTACTTCTTCCCAAGCTTTGGTCAACAGTCTGAGGCGTTCAAGTTCCTCAAAAGTGGAGTTTGCCTGAGGAACAAAACAACAGGAAAGAATGTTTAGAATGCTAGGGAGACAAACACACAGAATTTATAATCCAAGCATTCAGTGACAGTGAAACTTATAACTTATGAATGTTGTAATTTTTACCTTCAGTACTTAATAAACTTGCTTAAATGCCAGAAATATTAATATTCCTCAAAAAAGAAACTTTTAAAATCCAACTGGAATCAAAGTCATTTTGGATAAAATTCTTTTGTTTGTGTAATGAGAAAAACGAGAGCCCAAATTAGCCCGTTAACTACAATTCGTTTAACTACTCAGGTTTTAGGTAGAATGATTTCCTCCTCTCTTCTTTCCCTTGATTATCTCCCTCCACTGACTGTAGATGAAGCCTGCCCTAAAGAATGCCTGAAGTTGGGTGAAATGGATCTAAGAAGCTAAATCAAGTTCACATATGACCTGGGTTTTACCTACCTTATCATTGTCCATTCACTTACTCTCAACACCTAGTCTCAAGACAGTTCAACAGAGTTCACTTCCAGAAAGGAAGATGAAACTGCAATTCAACACTGAGAAAGTGTTTTCAGGCCAAGAAGTTTTCACAGAACCTGAAGCAACTTTTTGCCATTTTGTCTCTTTTCTGGCTTTCTTTTCTTTGCACCACATATGCAACAGTTTTGAGATAGCAGAAGTATGACATCTTATACACGAATATCAATACAGCATCCTAATTCATGAAATCAAAAATATTTATTCTTTCAATGTATATATTACTAAACCACTATGTTGCTATTGCTTGTAATCTCTCAGTGTCAGGTCTCCATGAGTCTATCCAAACCTCATAGCAGCACCATTAAAATTCGTCCTGGCACAGAGCTGCTAATGTTCCTACATCTGTAAAATACGTATGAACATTACTATTTTTGCTAGTGTAAATGTGGGAACATGCCAACAAAAATGCTACTTCAGCTAGAAAAAGCTTGCAGTGTGGACCAAGGCAGGATGAATTAGTGAAGATCTGTCTCCTGTTTCTGTAAATGAAGACTAACTATCCCTCCTCTGATGATCACCAGAGCAGGACTTCCAATGAGAAAATCTGATTAGTTTGACATAGGTGGGTTGCTGGTCTTCAAAGGATGTTTCTTAGAATGCATTTGTTTGCTTTTTTTTTTTTTTTTTTTTCAGAAATACACATATTTATATTGCAGAATTTCTTACATTTTTTAGGATTTGCCGTACAGACGGTGAATCAGGAGCAAAGAGAATTTTTCCCATCAGCAGGGGCTTCACAGCACTCCAGGCTATTTTGGTTAAAGGGTTTGATTCCAAGTTTTGGATCAATGCATTACAAAAGGGTGCTAAAGACAGAAAGACAGACAAATCCTTAAGCAACCCTCCTTAAATCTTACCACACATAACATCCTGCAGGGCTTTTTACTAATGACATGGACTGTTTAAAGCATTTTCAATCTGAATGGGTTAAGCACATTTTGCAACGTAGAAGTACGTCTGAAAAGATGGAAAAGACTGTAGTAGATTTTATAGTTCAAACTCTCTGGAGGAGTTGAGAACTTGGTCCTACAATAACTTAGAACTAAGCATTTTAATGTAAGCACTTCTATCTTACCATGGATTACTTACTTGTAAAGTATTCTACTATTTTGTTCCCCGGATAGAGGAAGGGGAGTACCGGGTCTTCTCCAGGTCTCATGGAGGTTCAGACATATGTAGAGCCAAGTACAACACAAAAAGTGAAATCTACGATTCCCTTCACAGGCAAAGCACTCATCTGTACTTTGCAAGCACACAATTATATCCATCATGGCAGAAGGGACACACAAATCTAATATCAGCTACGATATGAACGTTAGCATAACGAAATTGCTGGTGGTCTCAATACAGAGATAAACTAAACAGCAAATAAAAAGGACATAATAAGGATATAAAATAATGAATGGTAGAAAAGAAGAACATTTCTATTACAATAGCAAGGAGGTAAGTGAAGAAGTCAAAGCAAAAATATTTTAAAGTTATAAATGGCGTTACTTTGTACCTAAGATTTAATTAACATGTAGAACATTATTGAAACAAAATATATGTACTTTTACGCAGGAAAAGAAAACCAGCCACCATCCATCACATTAAGTGTTATTTAAAAGGGGAGTTTTAAATATTACTGCACTCCAGGCCAACAATCAAGAGACTTCCAAATAAATTTGTCTTGGAGAAAAGTAAATCAAGAATGATGCACCATAGAGTTTCCTGAACTTTTTTCCAGAAGTATTTAGTTCTTCCTGATATCAGTAGCATATGTTAGAAAGTAATGATGATGATGTTTATGCCTTCATAGTGAAAGTTAGTGTGTTTCTGTCAGTTCTCAATTCCTGGTCTTCTTTGCTTTCAGTTAAAAAGTACATTTGAGCAAAACTATTTCACCTGTCCCTAATTTCCCAAATTAACTACTTTAAAGTGTTATTTTATAAAAGCCACAGTGGTATTCTAACCTAAGCTTCACTTGTCTACACTCTCTGTCATAGTTTGATGGAAAAACTTACTGGTTGTATTATCATAGAGATAACTGGATTTCTTTGTAGAGTCAATCCCCAGGAAAGCTTTGTAGTTGTTATCTTCATACCAGTTGAAGGAAAGCACTCTGGATCCACCTCCTTCTGGGTAGCCACAGAAAAGATCAGACATGGAGCTCACCCAGTGGCCTAAGGATTCAGTTCTTCCATTTTGTACAAATGGTTGTAAAGCCTTGAAAAGGTCCTGAACACTTGACTTCTTGGCTAGCTGCAGTAAAACAAGACTTTGTTAATTGCAGCCCTCAAAAGAAGAAAGTATATGGAGAGGTCACCAGTAGTGCACAGACTAGATGCAGTTAGAACCTCATCCTTTCATCTCCTCTATGCTGGTCACAGGCACGATTTTCAGTTCTTGTTCTCCCACGTTTGTTCTGAAGAAATCAAATGCTTCATAATTGCCAGTGCTTATGCCCACACTTATTTTGTAATGAGAGAATAATGAATTTCTAAGGAAAGAGTTCTTCCCAAACAATTCTATTTCCTTTCTGATAAAGCAGATAATAGGAAATAAAAAGAACAAAATGGACAAAGAACTACAAACTATTCAGAAAAGTGATGCCATCTGTTAGCACACCACTTACCTTTTGTGCTGCTTGGGAGACATTAGACAGCACCCTCCCCCAAGACCTCAGATCAACACCTGGTGAGTTTCTGTCCAACACAGTAGGAAGCTGTGAATACATCAGAAAACACAGATGAGTTTTGGACAGTTTCTAGATGACAACAGCTTATATAGTGAGAAGAAAATCCAACCAGCATCTCTTCAGTTCAAATGCTTTGAATTATTTGTAACACTGTCTTGTGAGATTTGTGGGACCACAAACCCATAGTGTAGACTCTCACAACTGCCTGAGTAAGTTGTCTTACTAATATGAGGCTGAAACAGTCACAGGCCATTGAAAGTATAGCCTGGGATGTTTTGCTTATCTAAGCCTACAATACTGAAAGGTACAAAAATAAAGGAGCAATGCAGGAACTGGGATTTATGAGAAGTTGTTTCTTAGAGGCTGTTGTTTCCAGTGAGATGCAGAGACTCTTATTAACTTCTGAATTGAACGAGTGTTGTGATTCAGAAGCCTCTGCTTGCCATGGAGGTAAAATACCTGGTAGTACTTGTGAGATCTCCTGATTTTGGAGACTGGTCCTTAAGGTCTGTTAGATCTGCCAGAAACCAGATCTGCTTCTCCAGGCTCCTGCAGACTGACCAAATGGCCTTTCTGCCAGAAGTTGACACTTTATTTATTGCTAGCTTTTTAAGAAACAGGTGACACCATGGCATGCTGCCACTTACTACTTGCATCATTGCATCCCTCTTTGTGAAATCTCTGAAGAATCATGTGTGCACTTGGTGTTGGCACTCTGAGGTTTTTACAGGCATTTATTTCTCAAGTATTTAAAAAAAAAAAAAGCAGGATTTTTGAATAGACCATAATATTTATTAGATAAACTTCTGAAAAGATTTCCCCAAGACTGTGCAGCTATACACCCTGCTTATTCCCTGCCATTTCTTTCAGTCAGTTGGTGGTTAAAAAAGCAAAAGACAGAGCTGCACTATGTAGGCACCTGGCAGGGAATCACAGCAGCAAGAGTTTTTATGGAACGCTTATGTTTGCATGTTCTGATCTGTCACTTGCAGTAGAGGCAGGAAGTATACACAAGTACTGCTTCAAAATATACTTTTCCCATTTCACTTGAAGGGAACCAGTTTCTGCACAGATTATACAGCATTCTTGGAGCACTTGTCCTAACTTGGCCTTTTTGAAACTATGAGCAACAATATTGTAAACAAAATGAAACAAACCAGAGAAAAGCCTGAGCTAAATATGTAATTAAGAACCTGTTTCCTGTAGCTAGAGGAAAAGAAGGAAAAATAGGGGCAAACTTGCATGTGTTTTTTCCTAAGTATTATTTCTTGCAGGAGGCACTCTGTATGAACCAGGTCTTAAAAGAAATTTTGTAAAAGGACTGTGTTTGTACTCAAGTTAGTTCGCGTTCTCTAGGAGCACACAAAAGACAGGATCAACAGGGATTATATACAAACTATGCACACATTTGACCTAAATATCAGAGCATATAATTAGGAATGTGTATTGACCCTTAGCACAGAGGGGAACAAAAGCTTTCTCCAAAATGTTTATCCAACTATTTTCACATTCACTAGAATTAAAGATAGTGCTGTAAAACAAACAAACAAACAAAAACAAGAGAAAAAACAACAAATGAACATTGAAGAGTTTCCTTCAGAAAACAGAAAGCCCAGTTCTGGAATCCCCAAGTCAGCTGCCGATCCTAAAATGAGGCCTACTCACAAAAGGAGCTCTGAAAAAATAAATTCTGGTATGTAGTTGGTTACAACTGTAGCCTGAGGACCATGAAGTACAGAGGGATTGACAGTGTAAGAGGGTAGAAAATAACCTGGGATCTTGAAGACATGAGGTATCATTTTGCTAGGAATCATGAAAACCCTCCCTCTTCATCTAGGTACATATTAAAACCCCTGGGAATCAGGCTGTGGATCCAACTGTGTGTTTCCAACACACAGACTTCCAATACTGAGGGGAAGTCTTGGCAGACGGACCTTGTAGGAAAAGACCAGATCATAAACATACATCTTTGACAATTCTGGTGTTTAGTTTCAGGTTTATGTTCCTGTTTCTCACAAGTCTATTTTTGTTTAAACACAGACAACTGCTTCATCAAGTCTCTTCTTTCTATTTTATTTGATATGGGAGCAAAATCATGATATTAGCAGCTTAATCCTGAAGCTGGGCAGTGTAGCATGCGTATTTACAGGATGTCTTTCAGTGCTGAAAACTTACCTGAGAAGTACTGTAGGACTCTCTTCTACTTCCAGCAAGCACCAGTTATATGAAAATATCTGTGTATATTTTTAGAAATGGAAAACAATCAGAAGCTTTCAGAAACTCACCACAGATTCTTATCAGGACTGGCAAAATCACACAGGCTCAATAAATGTCTGCCAATGCTAAAATAATCAAACAGTAATTTGGCTGGTGTGTCAATTAAAGCTTCTGGCATGCTGTGTTCCCAGTTCTGAGTAACTCAAAGCTGAATTAAATCCATGTTAAATGAACTGTGATGTTTTGTGCTGTGGCAGGAAAGTCTGATCAATGCTTTCTAACTTCATCAACTCCCCATATATGCTGCCTGTTGTATACTGTCAATGTGATGACCTCACGACATTTATCTACAAGGTGAAAAACAGCAAATAAAATTCAGTGTTGCAAAACGCAAAGTCACAAACGTGGGGAAAAAACATCATCGTCATACACAGTGATGGGCTATTATATGGAAAGAGACTTTGGAGTCTTTACAGTTAGTTCTCTGAAAGCAACAGCTCTGTGTTCAGAAGACAAATGGAATATTAGAAAACACCAGGAAAATAACAGAGAGCAAGAACAAAAAATACCATTATGCCATCACATATATCTATATATATATATAGATAGATAGATATATCTATATCTATATCTATATGTGATGGCATAATGGTATTTCTTATATATATATATTTATATATATTTATATATTAAATTTATATTAAATATATTATATATAAATATGATATAATATATTTTATATATATTATATATATATATATATATATACATGACACATGGAAATACTGAACTCTGGTTGCAGTACCAGTTAATTTATGGCAAGGACACAGTAGAAATATGAGCAGCATAAAGAAGAACAATGAAAATGAACAGAAGGAAGAGCTTCTGTAGAAAGAGTAATGAAAACCAGTACAACTTGTTTCAACAAACAAACACAAAGGCACATATGTGTATCCCAATTCAAATTGCATCATGGCTTTGACTTCAGAGTAAAATGCCGTCATGCTGGATGGAGCAAATACAGGATGGGTTGTATGGGAGTATTTCAGATCTCTCAGCAAGGTCCAGAGAGGTCTTCCTGAGCTCTGTTCTGTTACACAGACTAGGAAGGCCAGATTCCACAAACTTTTTAAAATTTTATTTGAATCTTTTAGTTCTCTTGTAAGTGAATTTCATCTGTTACCTCCCAAAGCATGCTCCAAACTGTCCAGTGGTCCTGCTGATGTTAGGTTAATAATTATATATCCATAACTTCACATTTTTGGGGGCAAATAAACAAAGACCTCTCAAAACACTGGTGATGCATTAGAAGGAAAATTCCTGATGTACAATGAAATAACAGCCAAAAGTGACCACATAAGGCAAGATGATTGTGTTAATACTTACCAGCTGAAATAGCTTAAAGAAATCAACATTTGCATACAAGGCATCTTCCACTCTCTGTAGGCTTTCCTGGGAGAGGGCACACATGGCCTTGTGGACCGAAGGGAGACCTCTTCTGCTGCTGAAGATAATAAAGCGGTCCAGTAGCATCTGACTGCAAGCAATGTCCTTCAGAGTCAAGTTGGGTACACCATAGGCAAACTGCAACCAAAAATAATGTATTATTATTATTGAACCTTCAGACTATGCAGGAACAACTCAGATTTATCAACAACAGACATCTTGATATCAACATCTGCTAATATTTCCTGAATGGCAGGAAGATGTGGTCAGCTGAAACACTAACTCTTCAATCACCTTCACTTGATGTTATGCTAGATCACCTCACCTTCAGACAGGTTTTTCTTCACACTAGTGATTCTTCTTTCCATTGCAGAAGTTCTTATGAATCTTCTTTGCTTTCTCTCTGTCATCTAAGCATGCCTGAGGCCGTGCCATGCAACCCATCCTTATGGTTAAGCTTTAACTTGTTTGAAAGTATTTCCCCAAGACCAATCAAATGTGCCACATCACTGTAACTTTTGTTTATCCTGGTTATAGTTTTGCTGTCAGCTGTTCTAACTGGAAAAAGACGACTCCAATTGCCTTTGCTCAAGCTTGATTTCCCTCACTATTTTATTTCAGTTATGATTCTTTCACTTCAGTGCTTCCCCACAGCCATTATTCATAGTCTCTGTGCACAGGCATACAGCCAGGCTCACTAAAGCCATTTTACATTAAACCACACCCAACCTACTTATTTCAGCTTCTAATCTAAATATGGAACAGAAAATAAAGAAGTTATCTTTAGTGTTTAACCAGCGAGAGCAAATTAGTTTGTAGTTGAAACCAGTGTAAATACAGAATAACGCCACAGAAATTGATGTATTTACCTAGGACTTGTATTGTCGTAATGGAATACTTTTGGAAGTCTACGATTCAGTTCTACTTGCCTTACAATGGACAGAATACATGACAATAAAATAAAAAGTAGCACTGAAAATTGCTCAGAGGCTGTTCCCATCCTCTGTACACCTGTTTGCTGGTACAAACTGCATAGAAAAAAGTTCACAATACCATAATGACTCTAAATGCATGCCATGTTTGAGACAAACACAGACATTCAGACAAATGAGGACTGTGCATTGACACTATATTGTTAGGCTAGATGCTTTTTAAAAACTGCAAAGAAAAAGAAACTGACAAAATATGCATAAAATATAACTTTCTTTAGAAAAATTATTTGCTGAGTATTCCAGTCCTCAAGACATTTGGTTCAAAACAAACATACCAAGCCTACACCAGGCACACATTTATTTCCTAAGTCAATTAACAAGGCCATCTAAGTGATTCCGAACATTATCAAAATTTTGTATCTGCCAGTCTCCTGTAATTAGCAGCTGAGACTTGCTTCATGGTGCCTGTAAAGAGAAGTATTTAAAAACATAGATGAATGAGATTAAAATAAAATTAATTTAGTTGCTGTGGAGAGTGGATTCAGGCTTGAGAAGTTATTCATTAAGTGCTTCAGATGTCAGAACCTACCAGCAAAACTGCAAGTGTGACTGTGGAAAATCAGGTGAAGAGAGGTCTAGAACAAGAGTGTATTTTGTTTATCATGACTGTTCTGAATTTCAGCTTGTGGAGCTGATTTTTACAAAAAAAACACAGATGAATTACACCCAAATTGTGTATAGGAACAATGATGCAAAAAAGGGATACGAATTTCTAGTAGAAGTATCTGACAGGTACAGTCCCTATCATCACTACAGGTATACCCACATATTGACACAATCTATATTGTATTTGCACTAGGGAGTCTGAGAACAAGTAGAGTAACAAATCCTGAAAGAGTTCTAACATATAACACAACTTAAAAAAAAAAAAACAGGACATACCTGAAAATTAAGCACACAGCAGTAATTAAACTAATTAACCCCTCAGTTTTCTCATCCTTTACATCATTGCTTGATCTTTTAGATGTAGTCTAAACCATCAGTCCAGGCAGCATGGAAAGCACAGGCTTTCTCTTTGCAAGGGGCTGTTCTGCCATAAGTGGCACAATAAGCACTTAAATCTATTCTAGTAACAGTGACAGTTTACTTACTAGATTATGAATGTTCAAAAATTAGATGACAAATTAACAGTGTGGCCTTAGCTAGTGCCTTTTCACCGTACAATTTCACCTATGGGGAATCTGCCAGTACAGATATTACTGAGAACATGAGATTTGCTTTACAGCAAAGTTAAAACACACTGAGAGTGACACAAAGACAGGACACGTATGTTACATTGCTAATACAAGTTAGATAGTGTAAAGACAGAATACAAGAGAGGACATGCAACCGATGGACAGAGTCTTGCAAACTAAAATTTGAATTTGACTGATCTGCTGTCAGTGAAAGAACTTGCTTATTTGTTCAGTCACTACAAAAAGAGCATTTTTCAGCTGAACATGCCTGACCTCACCATCCAGTGTGGGCTGTAATGCAACTGAGCTGCACAGGGAGGCAGCCTGGGAGCCTTGCTTTAACTTGTGAAATGAGAAAACCATGACATTAACATCTTTGAGGAGGATTAAACATAGAAAAAAAGGACAGGTTATTTACAAACTGTAACTGCATTTCAGGAATTTCCATGAACAGATGCGATTAGCAGAACAACAAACCTCCGCCCTTCCAATTTTTCCGGTAGGGTGGGCTGTTGCCAATCTTTCTTGAACTTCTTATTGTGTTTTAACATCAGTCTCTTATCCTTATCTTAGAATGACTCAAAAGAAGCAGGTCCTCAGAGGAAAACTTCAATACTTTTTTTTTTTTTTTTTTTTTTTTTTTCCCCGACGTGTCACTGTTTGGCTAAAGAAATGAAGTCCAAATTATTTTTTCAGCCAGTTGCCTGTTTGATCAAGTTTAGCTTTCAGGTCTGTGTGTCATTTCCTGCACTCCCAGGCGGCTCAGACCTAGATCTGCAGCCAGCTGTTGGCAACAGTCAGGTTCTTGTAAACAAGCTGCTTTCAGGTCAATCAGCTCTATTCCATTACAGTCCAGGAGAGAGGACGCGCAGCAATATACAGGCAAACAGAGGGTAGAGCAGCAAGAACTGGAGGTGAGCTGTCATGTTTAAGGCTACAGACAAACACAGATCTGTGTTCCAGTCATAGCTCTGCAACGTCTAGCTCAACTAACTAAAAGCAATTACTTGGGCTGGTCATATCAATAAGGTCTATAGGAATTTTGTGACTTAGCCCACACAGCAGAGCAAGAGTTCAATTCCCATTGAAAATAATTCTCTTATGTTTTTGAGAACTATGAAATCAGTTTTTCTACTTCAGTTGCTCTTGGAGGAAGCATTCATAGCACTTTCTTTCCTCATATCTGTAAACCAGCTCCTGTGAGAAGACCTCGTACCCCTGCAATTACTGCTAACAAGAAAACTTCACAGAGGACAGCAAAAGTGGTATTTAATGCCAGGCCTTCTTCAGCTTCCTCTCAAGATGATTTTCAAATCTTTTAACTCCCAGTATCAAAAGAACTACATCTCTTTCTACACCTGCACAGAGAATACATTAGAAAGACACCATGTTCCAGCAGGTCTCAATCAGAGTTTCAGTGATGGTGTTGAAAACACCACCAGTCCTGTATACACTAGCAGCCAAAAAGTTTTCAACAGTAGCTGAATGAAGGCCACTGGGGAGCTAATGCAGCCTAACACAGCAGCACACAGTTCTCTGTATGCAGCAGACTTCTGACAAAGAAGAGGGAAGGGAACAAAAGGGAAAAAGCAAGCCCAAAAGGATCTCTATAGAATTCTTCTTGTCATGAGCAGCAAGGAAACAATTTTTTTTGGCATTTCAACTTATACTGAGGTATGAAGACAAGTAGGATGTATCAATTGCTGTCATCTTGTCGTATTGCTTCATAACAAAGTGAGGAGAGGGGAGAGCTTCCCCTGGTACTTATCAAGAATAGAGCAGATATGTAACCTGACAATTTAATCACTCTAGCTGGAACCTGTGGTGCACAAAAGGAACTGAATGCAAATTCATTAATCTCTTCCCTCTTTCTGGCCATGCACAGTTCTAGCATTTGTGTTTTATGTGGTGGTGAAAAAGAGGAATTGCAACTTTTAGTGTCAATTACTAATTTGCTTCTACCCACACACTAACCCAACGTAAAAATTGTTCCAGAGATCTGATTCAGCAACATTCATTCATTAATACAGCATTCCTCTCAGCTTGCAGACACCAGTACATGCAGATGCACAGATTGCCTGGACTTGGCCAAACGCAGTCTCCCGCTTAGCTGCTTCAGGAGTGATTTGACCTGCAGCTTTCACTGTGGATTTTCAGAGCAGGTCTGCTGTTCAGTTGGAATCTGAAAACGTGGGGCTGATTACCCACTCCCACCTATTCACATGAGACAGTGCTATAAGGCCAACATTACTTTGCTGACGTTGGGGCAAAGAATTAAAATGTTAAATCAAGAACTGAAAATAGTTCTCTGCTGCTATTCAGCAGGGTTGCTGTTCCAAAAAGATGCACAGCTGCATTATGATTTCGAGCCAAGCCTTTAATCACGAGGACAGATGCATTGCCTGGCAGTATAATTTCTTGATGTTTGTTTTGTAGTTCAGCTGCAACAACAGCGTCAAACAAACATCTCTATTTAATACATATTCAAAACATTATTATTAATTATTATTATTATTTTAAGACAAAACAAACACCTCTTCTTCCAGATTCAAAAACATAAAGGTGGATATAATGCATGTAACCTGTAAGGCAACCGAAATTCTGGGCACAAGGTCCCCACTGAAGCTACTTTGCATGCATATACAACTCAAGGGATTGTGTTCCACACAGGTAAATGCTTGGCAGTTTTTTCACTCTACCCACCTGTTCAGGGCGTACTTGAGCATTAATAAGCTGGAAAACAACAACATCTGGGAGACGAGCATCTTCCAGCAAGAAGGAAGTGAGAGTCTCCCCATCTTTCAAAATGTCTAGAATTCGTATTCCTCTTCCTGGATGAAGAAAGGAGTATGGGGATCAGTGAAATTCTAGACCAAGGAAGGTAAGGAACATCTCAAACACTGGCTTAAACCAGTAAAAACTATGTGCTTTGACTCATGTGCTTAGTAGTGACTAATGGGGTCCAAAACTATTTTTGAAATTCAACGTGGATTTTAATCTTTTGCTGGGGAATGATTATGAGAAAATGACGGCTGTTCTGACTCTGTATATCTGATCTCTCAAAGATCCTTCTGAGTAGGACTTGAGCAATGAGAATATTCAAAACATCCCTGATGGCATTTGAAAGTGTCTGCATTTTTTTTTCCTCAGGTAATGATTTATTTTAAATGTTTGGATTGAAGTATGCTACTGTTGTTAGAACAAGGGTCCTTTCTGCTGTATCTTGTGTGAATAACTTTGGCCAACCCTTTACACTTACACTAATTTATTACTTGCTGTTGATAACCTTTAGCTATTTAACCTGATTCTATAGTTTTTGCATTTAGTGTATCAGTATGAATTTTGCCTCAGCATGGTCCACGTGAAAGCTTGGAAAGTGATGAAATGACTCCTGTCTGTTAAATACTATGGCCTTAATTAAAGGTAGTTCACCAAGCACCCCCAGACTTATGCAAAGAATGTTTGAAAAGCAGTAGCTCTTGCAGCCTTTAGAACAGGAATTTGAAACTGATAGGAACAACATATATCACATTGACATGGGGAATGCAGCTTTGGACATCTCCACATAAACATGCACTAATTTGCTGCTGAACGTTTCTGTTCATGCAAGTTATGCAGAATCTTATTAAAGTCCAACAACTAACTTTTACAATCTCAATCTGCATTAAGCTAACTCTGCCCTGGGCTGCAGGTGCTGAGCAGAACTTCTGCAATTGCTCCTCCATGTATTTATTTCAGCAGCAGACACTGAAACAATTCTAGGTGCCTGTTGTATTTTCACTATGCTTGTATTTTCACTGATGCCCTTCCTGGCACCCAGGCACAGTGGAGGAGGAAGCACGTTACAAGAACACATATTGTCAAATGCAAGGGGGGAGTGGGACAAGGAAGGAGGACTCAAGAGGTGAATCTGGTTTAAGAAATCAGGAGGAGGAGCAGCTTTAATTCTAGCATTTGGTAGTTTTTCATTGCTCAGCTTTGCAGCCCTAGTATTCTGTTAAGGTTGTTTCTTACAGGCAATAGTAGTAAGTTACACACACACAGACCTTATATACATGTAGTTAATTCAACAGTACCTTTTTCTGTATAGATAAAAGTGGCAATTCACATTTCATTACTTTAGCTGACTTTAGCAGGACTGATTTTGTGACTTTGCTTTATGCAAACAGGAGATTCCAAAAATCTTTTATTATTTAATAAAACATATTACTAAATAACAGATTCTGAAACAGCATTAGCATTATATTTCACAGGAGTTGGGAGCAACGTGTTCTATTTCCCAGCTGGTAAGTAAAGTTGATACAGGATGCAAACCATGGGGTGTTGTCCCTGAGCAATACACTACAAACCCACTGCACTTTATGCTTTTCCTCTCCCCTATACAGGAGTGCTTGTTTTCTATAGCTGTGTAAAAAACACATCTCAGATTATACTCAGATTTTTGTTGTTTGCATTTTGATCTTCCCACTTCGTTATTTATAGCGAAACACCCTTTCTTACTTCTACTTAGAAACCTCTGATGGGATAGTCGAGCATGTGTATCTGATGGTTTACACACATCTTATTAAAATATATGCTGGGTGGCAATATTTGATTTTAATAAGAATATTATTCCTGTGGCAAAGGATTTGAGAATGGGACAGATCAATTCTGAAAGTCATTGCATTTTTGTGCCATTAGTTTTAGGAGTATCTTTTCAAATTATGTATTTAAAGCCCAAATATTGAATTAAGAAAATGATTATTGGTCCATTTCCTATATTTTCCAAGGATAGCATTTTGAGTTTGGCACATGACTTTGCGTAAAAATTAATGGAGTTTATAAGCAAACAGAATTGCAAATTATGTAAGTTTGCAATACCTAATCTCTCTAAACACGTAATCAAAACAAGAACAAAGTGTTTCTTTCCTCACTGTTCCAAACCTATTTCAGCTAATACTTGAAATAAAAATCTCTCTAAGCTCTTCTCTGGGTTATGCCCTTCATATTTATTCAGGCATGTTCCCAGCTTTTCATTCCTCTGCATCTTTCAGTGATGCTTTCTTAGTGCTATTGCCTCTACTGTAGTAACAATTAATGAAATCTCTCCATCCACATGTTTCACTTTGGGTGGTGATGTCTCTTTGTTTCTGTAGCTTGAGTTTTGTCTACTGTTATTTAAGGAACCTGTTTGCAGAATGAAACTGAATGCCTCTCTCATCTCTCAAATGAAAGGTGTGTGTTACACCTTCTGTTAATGAATTTTAGTTTACCCTCTCTAACAATAAGCAGAGTAACAGCCAGGTGTGAAAAACATTGTTAGTCTCTGCATCGTTAACTAATAGTCAGTTTTCAGAAGGAAAAATTCAATAGTCTAAAGGATATAGAGAAAACAATTACCTGCAATTCTTTCAGGATTAGTTCTCATTGTTTCCATAAACTGAGTCATAATGATCAGTTCTTCCCAGACTCTGCCAAGGTCACGGATTTCAGGGGCTTCCAGTAAGAGCTCTTGAGCATCTTTATATACTCTTGCAAGGCTGAAAGAAGTAGTGAATCAATAATAACTTAAGACTGATGACTCTTAAGAACCTTTCACATAAAGAAAAAAAAAAAGGCAGAAAAAAGCAAGATTGACTTTCTCTGTGCTATGGATGAGGAAAAAAGTTATTTTGTCCTTAGCCTTGAAACTCAAAGTCCAGTTTTGTGGTGGTAACAAAGTAGTTTCAGGTGGTGTGGGATTCAGATTTGGAGTCCACAGGTTTCAGAGGGCTACTGGTGTGGCAGAAGGTTGGTCTCTTATAAGCCATGATGATCTTGCTGTGGGGAAAGGACCTTCCCCAAACAACACCTATGTCACAGTTGTACTGAAAACCTGCTCCAGTTATGGCCCAGGATCTGCTTTGGCATTTGGTTGGGGCATTCAGAGCACAAGCAGCCCTGATCAGCTGGATAAATGACATGGAAACGTACAGAATCCTCCCCCCTCTCCCATCTCAGTCTCCTCCAATGTAACAGTGATTTTTAAGTACTTTCAGAAAATATTTCTATTGGGGGTTGAAAACAACAGTGCCTGACTTCACCACAGGCAGCTGTTCACCTACAGTTCTTGGGTTTGGACACATATTTCAAATAAGTATTCAGTCAGGTCCTGTGTTTATAAACAAATATGAAAAACAGATCTTATTAGCAGCATGGGAGGCCAAGCACATCTAGGAATTGAAATATCACAGGCTTTTCCTTCTGCAGTAAAACAGATAGAATTTGAACAAATACCTGTTAAGAAGCACAGTATTTCTTTAATGGTTATGTTTTTCCATACATGGAAAGGTAAATCTCTGCCCACATGACTTATTTTAGTTTACAGGAAACAGCAAACAGGAAGGACAAAATTCTTTCAGAAAACACAATGTATTTGCTTCCTCTGTAGTGCACTGAATTTACTCTGACTCACAAAGGGACAGTTCGTTCTGTAATCAGCAACCTAGAAAAGCCAGAATGTACACAAAATGGAACCCTTTAGCTTCACTGTATGACTGTACCCACAAAGAAGCCCAGGTGACTATTCTAAACCCTGTTCACTAGGAACAAAGTTGAAATGCTAAATTAACTCCAAGCTATGGATTTAAATCCTCTTAAATCTTCTTTTAAATCTTCTTAAATCCTCACCTTTCCCTTTTTGCTTACATCACAGAACTATTCTATAAACTCTCCCCAATATACTGAGGGACCAATCTGAGCAGGCTGAAGATGCTTCACCCTTTCTCCTTATAACACTCAGCGGGTGACAACAAGTTCAACAGGTGCCAAAGGCAAGCTAACAGCAGTTGCCTAGCGGGCCTGTACTACTGCAACCCTGTCTTGCACACAGAGCTCTGCTTACATGGAGTTGTTGTAGTTGGACACAACACCTGGACTCTCTCCAGGGGTTGGGCTGCGGAAACAAGGGTTGTTCATGTTACAGAAGATGCCATGTAACCACGGCAGTGTTCCTGCAGATGGCATTGCCTTGTTTGGGAAGTGACCTGGAGTTGGGAAACAAAAGAATATAAATGATTACGTGCCTTTTCTAATGGAGCTTGTGTGAAACTGAATTGCATTCTGAGTTTTTTTACTAAACAAAGAATAGTTTGTATAGGATTTTTGAAAGTAATTAGCACTGGACTAGTTCTGTTTCCAATGAGACAAGTGGCAGAGCAGGTTGGTTTTTTTTGTCCCCCCTCCTCTCCCCCCCCAACAGAAATGGAATACTAGAATTCTGAATACTTTCAAAAATCCTACTTTCTGATTTTTTTTTTTCTTTTTCAGGCAACACATTCATAAACAGTCCAAGCTAAATAAGCAAAACCTGGTATCTCTAGAGTCAAGTAATTATCTAGCCTGAACACTAAACAACTAGGATGATTATCATGCTACAGTATGTACAAACAGTAATAAATACAGAAAGAGTCAGTATTACAAGAGGAGCAATAATCAGCATTACAGCCTTTCAGTATAACTCTGGTTTAAGGTCTCTGGTTTGCATAAAGACAGTCAGTTGGTTACTACCTACTAAGAAAAGAAGCCTACTGTGTAAAATTCATATTTGCTTCACTAAGGTCTACACTTCCACTGGAAAACTCTTAAGTGTTCACACATTATATCTTCTAAAGGCACTGATAAAAACAATATGACTATTTTCTACTGGAACTTAGTTCTTACCTAGCCTTTTTATTTATTTATTTATATTCAGTAGTGAGACAATTCATCAACAACAGAATTACAGAAATCTACAATTTGACAGAGCCTTGAGACATCAAGTAAGTCCAACCACAAAATAGCTCACAGGAAAACTAGAGGTTTTTTCCCCCTTGTTGGTAAGTTTTATAATATATGGCTACAAATAACTAAACTACTCACAGCAAAGTCTGTCCTTTTGCCATTAGAAAATACTTGGCATCCAAGACCAGTATCTCTGTCTGAGACCTTCTAGGCATTACCTAACACAGGTCAGAGCATTAAACTTGTCAAATGTTCTTACATTCATGTTGGCGATATAATGGATTAGCCTTCCTCAGCCACACAAGGGCAAGAAATAATGACAGAGGCCACACAAGCTCCACCAGAAGACGAAGCTGGAAAAACAAAAAGCAAAAATCCATTCAAACCAAATGTTAAAGATAAATTAAGTTCTTACACGAAGTGGATGACACTGTAACAATACAGAAAAACAGGATTAGATGCAATAGAGAAACAGAGGGATTTTATCCGCACTTTTGCAACGCTGGACTCATTAGCAGGCTAAAGTGTAACATACATACCTGAAGGTAAAGCCTTTATCATAAACCTACATTCTTTTATATTTACTTTTGCCTCTTTTTGTCACCACTCATTTCAACATCATTAATTTTCTAATACAGGTAAAAATGTATACATTAAGATCAAACCTCTTACTGAATAACATGCAAGGCTCCATCCAAGGCTGCTTTATTGCCCAGGTCTTTTAATACACTTAGTACAGACATCAGCTGCTAGCTGTGACAGAAAATTAAGGGCACTACTTTACCACAGAGAAACATCCTGCCTGTTTTTTCAGTCTTTCCTCCACTCTCATGTTTCAGTTTTACTGCCTCTGTGTGTTTTGGCAGAGGTTTGAAACTACAGTTCTTTGATCTTGTGACACAGGCTTTGGGCTCTGAGGACCAGCTTTTTTTTTTTTTTTTTTTTTTTTTGGTGTGTGTGTGTGCCCAGCCACGTGGCACTTTTTTCCTCCTCCCTACAAGAGCCAGGACAGACTCTTTCCACTGCGTGGGTTGTACTACATGCACAGGAAAGCTCTCCCTGCCTCCTTTCTTTTACTCCTGCCTCCCACATCAGGCACCAAACATGTAACAGTAGTGTGTACAGCAGCAGAGCCAAAGACACCACAGGCCACAAGTGAATGTAATTTTTTCCCCCTTTTTCTTCAGATTAAGCCATGCAGGGTAAAAGATACTCCACAGAATAATTAAGAACAGGTTTTTGGAGCTGCCCTACTTTTTCCACTGTCATTCTGTTTACTGGCTTTAATTAAACACAGTTTAAGATTATGGCAAAAGGATACAAAGCTTTTCAACAGGCAACTGTTTCCTATTTCACACTTTGTTACAAGGTTGGTTTGTTAAAATAAATAAATAAATAAATAAATCACATCACCTAAGAAGTTATGCATGTCTCATTTTTAAAGCCAGACAAAATCTTGCTAGAAGCAAAGGGCAGATGACAAAATTTTTGGAGTAGGAAACCTCCCACTGTACAGTTCTTCTCCTCCACAGCTGAGCATACAGTGTTACAGGTCCTTCTCAGCAGCTGGTGTGTCTACAGGGCAGACCACTAACACCCACCGCCAACAATTTAATAAGATGTTTGGGATAAGCATTATGTGTAAATGAACTCCAAGGGGTAAGAACTTGGGAAGACTCCTGAGTTGTCATTTTTGCTGCAGTTAACCTGGGTTATTGCTCAGGTGTTGGCTCTTCCTCCATTCCCAGGAAATAAAAAATCCTCAGGTTGAATTCAGCATTACTTTGTCTCTGATCTAACTAGTTTGGATGGGATTGAAGGCTAAAGTACAAGTGAAGCTTTCATTCAGTGTGTTGTACAATGAGGACTGACCAAATGCTGTTAGCCCTCTGATATTTTCCTGCAGGCCTTTTCCTGTTAATACACCGGTATCTCAGAACATACTAGGAAGGATCAGAGAGCAGCCCATAAAACCACAGAACCATAAGATTAAGAGCCAAAAATTCCAGCAATGCACACAGAGGAATGTAATATCCACATGGACTTGTAATGGAACAAGATCAGTGGTAAGACCATATAAATCTGACAAGTCTACATTGGCTGTGGATCATCTGTTAACTGTAAGGAAGCCTTTCCTCTTGTGAATTAGAGTAAATAATGAACTTAGGTAAAAGATTGGATATGCCTCCATTTGTGGTACAGCATGATAGTTACCAAAAACCAAGCTGTTTTTCCCCAAACATTTTATATCTGCTTTTGACATTAGGGATTTTTGTTTTGGTTACCTTGTTTCTCTGTGTGAACAAATAAGCAGGTAGATTTATGTACTTAAAAATAAAATTATTTTTACTGGCTCAGTTTTAAAATTTGTTTTACCCTTCAGAGTAGAGAAAATATTTCTCTGATGTGGATTAAATCGCTGTGCTTAAAAGCTAGGAATGATCACCACGAAAAGGCATTCTTTGGCAACACCAGGAAACCCCGAGGCTAGCACTTTTGAAACTTCTAAAAGAAAAATATTAAAAAGAAAAAAAAAATGAATTCCTAAAACCCAAGCAAGAACTTTGGGTGAAATATCTGGAAATACTTGCTTAAATCAACAGTATTTCATACACTGAAAATACTGAAGACACGGATCTATTTGCTAAAAAGTTTTTAAAAAAGGCTTTCAATTCTCTCAGTATACATATTATACATTCCAAGATGGACTTACTTATGTTTCCTTCCTTCTTTCCTTCCTTTTTTCCTTCCTTCCTCTCTCTCTCTCTTTCTTTCTCTCCTTCTTCCTTTCTTTTTATTCCCTGAACTTGAGAACCAAACTATTACAGCTCCTTGGTAATCAGTAAATGCAGGCTAGCTTTGTAAAGGGGTCCTTATATTTGATGTAATTTAGGTGTGGATCAGTTAATTTCATACTGTATTAAATCACGACTTGACAATGTTGCATGCACCAGCTCTTGCTGGCAATGCAAACTGTGGGATAAAGTCTGCAGAGAAGCTACGAAACAACAGACATTCAATTTGTCTATGGAAAAATCACATAATTCTTTGATCCTGGAATTTTTAGCTTGAGTCATTCCTAATAACTAAGATCTCCAGGAGTTATGGAAGAGGACAAGACAGCTGGTGCATTTTTACACAATATACCTTTTGTTATTTTCTATTAGCCAAAACCAAGCAAACAATCACATTAGCATGGACACAAAAGTGGGCTCTGTCTCAGCTCCGTCAGCAAAATAACTGGAAATGTTGGAGGTACCTTCCGTCTGGTTTTGACCAAGTTCTAGTCAAAGCAACTCTGGTTCCAAGCAACTCCGGATACATTTATTACAACTTTCAAACAATGATAGCACAGAAAAAATCAGGACAGCATAGGCAAGCATTTCAACTTATCCTGATTCTGTTTGATCCTGTTGATGTCTGTATCAAGACAAAATCATCTGCATGACTGTTACAGCTTCACAGCTGCCTGACTGTAGTTCCTTATTATTTTTAGTTTGAAATGGTTGGTCTTTCTCTATATGAGCTCAAAGGGAACTTTCCATGAAAAACAGCTTGACAGAAGCAGTCTCAGTACATCATATAACCATGACCCTGTCTTAGGGTTTTGACCAAGAAATTTCAGAAAATAAAAAAAAAGAAGAAAAAAAAGGTGAAATACAGTAGAAACTAATACATAAATCTGCTCTAATCCATGACTAAGTGTCACAAGATCTAGAAGGACTGAAAGGATTTAAATACTTCTCTGACTTCCACTTTTTTATCATGATATTCAAGCACATAAAGAAAAAAAAATTAATTGAGCTTCAGGCCCCTAATTGGATTCGCTTCTAAAAGCAGTTGGGTGTAAGAGGCAAATCTAAAATTAGGAATCAAATTTCCCTGAGCCCACATTTTCCTGACAACAGATCTTCTATGAATGTAACAAAATATTACTGCCCACAACTCTTTTCCTTGTATGCTGTAGTATTTGTAAAACAAACAAAGAAAACAATGCAACTCTGTCTGCAAGAAACATCTTTGCGAACTGCACAAGACAATATCCCAGTCTCATTTGATTCTGTCAGGAATTTGTGATTTTTATATGCTGATAAATGTATCACCGGTTATTTCATCCAGGGGACTGCATGGTCCAAAGCTGAAATCCAAAGACTAATATTTTACCTTTTGTCTTTTCCGAAGAATCCAGTTCTTCCAGAGTAGAAGTCTGATTTGCCTAAGGAAGTTCATTCTTCTGCACCAACTGTTCTAGCAAACCTGTGGCAAAGGATACATTGACATTTCTCAGCTGACAATTTAAACAGATCTGAGATCAACAAAATTGTTTTCTGTTCTTATTTTAAGATTATGTTATTGTAGAGATTGGTTCCTGTCATTGTCTGCGCCATGTAATTTTGCACTTGATATACTATCACACATGAAAAATTGTGGTTTTCCTTTGTTTTGAGGCTGTTTCCTGTCACACATTTTATCAGCAAAAAGAAAGAGAGAGGAAAAGCATTTCTTTCAAGTGAAAAAATGTCACTAACATTGAATCCAGCTATTAAATTGGACTTTCAAGTAATGAAATGATGAAACAATTAACCGCTTTATCAGATTAAATCAGTGTTTTTAAAATTTTTTTTTTGTTTTCCAAGAAAACATGGATTTCCAATTACTTTACATAAAAATACTTATAGGCAGAATCAGTCTTTCCATTTAGACACTATAAATGTATACTGATAAGCACACTGGGTTTTGGAAAGACAAATTAATTTTGTTCCCATTTAAAACAAAATAAAAAAGAAAAAACAAACAAACAAAAAAAACAGGATCTCAGATTTACAGGTTTTTAAATTCAGCGCCTTGTAGGACACTTTACAGGGGATACAACAGAATTTAAGCCACTGTATGCTCTGCTTTCCAGATTCATGCCTCATTTTAACCACCGTGAATTTTTACCCTCAAAAAGAAAAAGAGAATTGGACACATAAGTCTAAACAGACACCTTCCACATACAGGGACCTATTCAAAAATAAAGGAAACATTTTAATTTGTTCCTGTATACACTTCCTACTTTATAGCTGCCTTATGGATAAGAGAGTAGTTTCTTCATGATTGGTTAGTAACTGGGAGTCAGTGGAAAGGAGATGTAAGTTAAATATTGGAAAGCACTTTCTGACTATGAGAATGATGATGTAGATCTGTTTGTTGGATATTACCCAAATCTCTATCAAGAATTGCACAGGCAAAACTGCTCACAGATTAGGTGATTTGTTGAGTCTCTCTTGCCACTGTTCATCCAGAATTTTGTTTGTAGATAATCTCTTAAGTGGAGGAAATCTTGTTTTAAGAGGCAAAGCTTGGATAGCATGTAAGAATATATTGTCCTAACCTGCCAACACAGCATTAGTTAGTTGACACAAAAATAAGTAATAACTCTTTGACCATTTCAGAAAATCTTCTCAGGTGCACATTTTAAGATCTGAAAACAAATTCAGACCTCAGCAGGAAACAGGAAGACAGCATTGGTTAGGGGGGCTGACACCTGCTGGAAAAATGTTCCTAAAAAACATGCAGATCTCTTCTGACACATTGAACACGGAAGAGATGGGGACAGAGTGTTTGAGACCAAGCTTAGCTAGAATTGTCTATGCTGCTTACCGGGGACCAAATAACAAGACATCAATTCTGCAGAAAAAATCAATGCAAAGCTGATGATGACAAAACCTGCATCATTTCCCATATTTTGTAGGTTAAGAGTTTTGTGTAATTTTCACTGTTAGTCCATCAACTGTAATAACTCAAGTTCTAGAACAACACAGGAAATGAGACCAGGTAAAAAAAGCTATTGCTGTTGTAAAGTGTAAATGGATTAACATTTGATGGTTTGAAGACATACACTTTTGGATTGCAACAGCTTCCCAGCTTGACAGGATAAAATCTAAAGGGAACAAAATAAACCAATTGCTTTGAGTGACTCTGACCAATTCCACGCTACTGCGTTGAAAAGTAGTCCTTATGGTACAGAGTGCATTAAGATCCTAAACAGACATAATGACATGCAGCAGACAACAATTTTATTTTGGGAGATCTAACTTCACACTGATGGGATTTGGGGCCTATTTTGACCATTTAACAGAGGGAACAAAATTGAAGTCTTACTTTGAGACCAAACACCTGAATACAGAAGAGTGAGAAAGAAAATCTGTATCAAGGTTCAGATTGACCATTTGATTCCTATGTATACATGGGTGATAGAAAAGGCTAGAATTTAGACAGTATCATTCACTTTTTTCCCCTCTTTTCCTCAGTAATTCAAAAGAAGCACATCTAGTTCTTCAGATGTTTACCCAATCGAGCGCACTTCTGAGCAATTAACTGTTGGAAGGGTTTAGATCCCAGGAAAATAAAATAAAATAAAATTGGCTGACCTTCAAGGCAAGACAAGATTTTGGCAGTTTCACTACTGACAGCAGGTTCTGCAGCTGAACAGGCTGATGGCTCCCTTGGAAAGCCAAGTTTATATATATATTTAGTTGCAGGCAGCTCCAGTAGCAATCAGATTTCTGTTGCCATTAGTGTGGCATGCCTGCAACTCCTTAAGGGTTTCCACTGAGGTTCTCTTCACAGAGCTGCTGACTACGGGCAGTCAGATGGCTTTCTGACACCCTTGCATAACCCAGGACTCTCTAACCTGTTGGTGTTCTGAAGAATGAATCCTACAGCTGGAAAAATGGGAAAAGGCCAATTCTGTTCTAGCTCCTTTCACCTTCCTCTAAACCCCAGGTGGGCACTCTGCAATCTTTCTGCAACAGCTGTGAAAGGAAATTCAAGCCTTCATTCCAAGGCCATAAAATATGTACTCTGCCAGTGTTCTGGCCTCTCCTCTTCCTCCTCTTGGCTCATTACTGAACTATCCAATATGTTGTTTCTATCTCACTGAGAGATTCCCTAGTAGTACAGAGTCTGTCAGCTCATGTTCCCACATTGCTCACAATGTATGACATACCTGCACCATCCTGTAACTTTTACGATTGTTGTTAGCAAGTAAAAATTGCAGTGCAAGGTCATGAATGGGGTTAGGATTGCCAGATAACATTCTGTTAGCATTCGCCCTAGAAAATTTAGCTACTTTTCTGACACTTGGCATTTAAGTAGTAAAGAAGACAGAACTAATAACCTTGGGAAGAAAAAGGGACATAAGTAAGGTTATCCAGATTGTCCTTCTACATTAAACCTTGCTAGTTAGGGCTGTTGAGAGCCATCGGGAGAGAGATTCCTTATAAGAGAAGTAACTCCTTAATGATAGACAACCTAATTAACATGTACAAATTGCAAAGGAATCAGTGAAAGAAAGAAAACAGTGATTACTAGACTGATTGCCAAGGTTAAGATTCTGCTAAATAAATCAGAATATAAAAACATTTTTCTTTTTAGCCTAAACCAAGATATTTAAATTATAGCATTAATACTTGAGGTGCAGACAACATATAAAACATGAAGAAAGATTCCATTTTGCTCTGCGGACATATTTTAGAAACATTTCTAATTTTACCACATATTTACATTTCACCAGGCTGCCTTGTTTATTAAACCTTAATTGGGAGCTAGTGGAAAGAAGCTTGCTTTCCTAAATGGAACACTTTCACAATTATGACTGTTGTCTTTGTCTTAAGTCTGTTAAGAGTAATTGTCTTAACCTTATACAGCTTAGAAACCTAAATTAGACAGGTAAACATGGAACAGAAGTGTAGGAAAAAAGAACTAAAATAGTGCAATCAGGAGACAGTGGAGAGATAAACCTCAGATTCTGTAGCAGGACAGAATAAATAAGTAGTAACTCATTTTCAGTCCCGAAATATCCTTCCCTATCTAGGCATTACTCGACAGATTAACATAGAACTGTATCGTCAAGATTCAAACTCTACGAATTTAAGTAGAGCAAAACAGTGCAATTTAACTACAGAGAAGGTCCATGCTAAAAATAGTACCTAGCAACAATGCGTCGAGAACTCCACATGGGCTCTGGAGGTACGTGAACTTCTGAAGTGATTAGTCATGCTGTAGATCTACCTTTGTTCTTAAAGGCAGAAGCATCCAGATCGCAAGATCAGCCAGGGTTTGAGGCAACTGCGATTAGGAACAGCACAGGCACTACAAGAAATTCAGTTACCAAAAAAGTTAAGCTTATTAACACAGATATTAACCCCCCTCCTAAAAGCAGAAAACTACAACAAAAACAAAACAAAAAAAACCATGCCACATTAAGAACTGTTCATTCAGCTTTCCCAAAGAAGCTAATGCAAATCAAGTTTGTTAATATTTAGAATGGCGTGCATTTGCTGCCCAAAGATAACAAGCTCAAAGGATGTGACTTATATCCACGGCATACATAAATCTCTGGATTGTTAATTTTCCTTTTGCAGGAACTGATTTCCACTTCCGGGGGCTGAGTGTAAGGGTCAACAAAAATAACTTGGTTCCATCAGCAGCATACTGCTGAAGCGTGGTAAGACTATTACAAATTCCCAAACCATAGGAAAATAAAAAATGGCACTTCTTCTGTGCTTTCTTCCTTTTTTGCTAGCTGTTAGTACGATAACATAGAAAAATGATTTGCTGCATACATTCAGAAAAAAAATTATATGTATTGTTGACAGAAGACAAGTGAAACAATTAGTTACATCCATTATTACCTCTAGTTTTCCTACACAATGTAACAAAGCTAAATACTGATTTTAAATCAGTAGAAATAAGTTAACTTTTATACTTAAAAACCTAGTTTCTCAAAGTTCAATCCTATCTTACTACCTTCAGGACAACATCAGAAAGAAACAAGCAAACAAGCAAGGCATAAAAATATCTTTAAAAAATAAAGTCATAAAAAGGGGCTTTTTCTTCATTCTTTTTCTAGCTTTTGCCTTTCAACAGGAAATATAGCGACAGCTTTTAAAACCTTGACATTCTAGTGTTACAGTTGGAACTACAAAAAGCCATTAGAAATTAAGTTAAGCATTTATTTCTCAGCTGATAGTAAATGAAGACAGTAATAGACTGAATCAGATGCCTCTGTATTTTACTTCATGTTATGTAACAGGGAGGCCTAAAAATGAGTTAAACAAATCCACATCATGTGGAGTAGGTTTCATATTTTGACTGGCTGCCAACAATGAACAATAGCTCTTCCCTGACTTAATCCTGGAGGTTCAGTAAAACATTCCTTTTTTTTTCCAGACTGTAAATAGCAGTTAGCAAAGGGTACTCTTACCCTGTTTGTACTGTACCTATTATACCTTATTAATAAAAGCTATCAACAAATTCTCTTAACTGTGTATTTCTTCAGGTATTGTATTTATATTTTATCAATTTAATCAATACCTTCACTATGTTCGTGCTTCTGCTGAGGACCCTGAGCTCCAGGGGTACTGACATATCAGACTACTTCATTACCAGGTTAAGAACAATGCAGTGTGTTAATTAATTCTTAGCCTGTTTAATCTAAGCACTGTCCTTAGTAACTTTATAAGCAGAGTTCTTCAACTGTATGTCTGCTGCTATGGTCTTAGAGAAGACACAAGCCTTTCCCACTACTTCAACACTTAGTTCATAGGAATTTCAACCCTTTCTCTAAGCTCCATTTGTTTTATGAAGGTGGCACAAGTATTTTTCTCTATAGGAGACAATGTTCTAGAGACTGGGAATTTCTTCTGGGCTGTCTAGACAAATCAAACCTGCAGTAACTGGAGAAAAATATTTTTTTACCCAGTTCATTTTCACACATGACTGTGACAAAATGAATGTTTTTGCTGTTGCTGCCACACTTCCCTTGTGAAAAGCATGGGGAGTTTGTTCTTCTAGTGTCTGAGTGTGCAAAAGTAGCCAGGTACGGTAGTTTAGTACATTTCTTCATGGATCATCACTCCACAGGAAGAGAGAGAGAGTGAGACATAGAAGTAAGCATTTCATAACACCACTATAGGACAAAGAAGACTGTTCTTCTCAACCAAGACTTCTTCCACGTTAGGTTTTCTAGAACTTCTAAAATGTCAGCAAGCTGCAAGCTCTCATAGAAACACAGTAAGCTGTGTATATAAGAATACAACCTGGCTGAATGTGTTCTAGTTCACACCTCCAGAGATGCATTCAGAGAACTTTTCAGCAAGCTTTGTCCTTCAACTAATATTTACTATATCCAGTTACATATTAGAATTAAATGACTCAGTGCACATCTCCAAGATAAATTATCCCCAACTAGTATCTGTTAAAGGTCAGACACAGAAGCAAAAAAGCACTGAATGAACACTAAGGGGTTGGTTTGTTTTTAAACAAATTTAAACAAATGATTTTTCATCTTTAAGGGTTTCAATAGACCACAATGCAGCGAAGACACCCACCAGGGTTTCTGTCAGGCAGGGGCACTGTATGAGCATTATCGTAACGTCCCTCGCTGCCTCACTGGGGCTGTTGTTCCAAGTACGAGTTGATCACTACTCCAACCTTCATTATTTAAAAAATAATGGAAAAAGTTGTGGCAGCATTTGCCCATTTCTTTCTCCCTTGTAGGGCTCCTGGGAGACCTTTGGGAATCCTCCACAGAACTCTGCTTCACTGAATTTGATAACCTGTAAGTTTACATCAGACCACACCACAGCTCTGACAGCACAGCACTGCACTTAGCACCCTGCTTCCTTACCACGACTATCTCAGGACATTCAAGCAGCTGCACAGATTTGTTGCCTAAACCAATGACTTCAAGCAGGCCTTCTTCAGGAAGGATTACTTGGCCACCTCATCTTTTAAACGTGGCCTTGGTCTGATTTCTTTTGGCTGTGTTCATATCACAGCCCTGCTGCAATCTTAACAAAGAAATAAGGGGCTTTATGAACCTGCAGAGGGAAGTCCACTCTGACTAATGGCATTGCAAAACAGAGAAACTAGGGCTGCTATTAGGCTGCAGCTTGTGCTTAAGCACTGCTACTATGTCTGAGGCAATCAGACAATTTAACTCTTTTATTCAGCAAACAAACATTTTAGCCTTGAGATGAGCTCAAGTTATTTTAAGAAAATTGCTATTTTTTTGCTGCCTGTATGGTATGCAGAGACAGCTCTAACAGATTAAACTAATCTCTCCTAATTAGATTTTTACATCACAAGGATAATGATGTGTTATGTTTCTTCTGCATTCAACTACATCAGCTCTATCTGTGACCCACCTTTGCTTTGTAAACAGTGGGATCTTCAAAAGTAAACACAGAAAGCTTATGTGGGGCCTACCAGTTCACAGGGGAGGAGAAAATATGGTTCAGCTTACAAAGCGCACTGTGCACAGTTTCTCTGGTAGCTCTATCTACAGTTGTCACCATCACTTAGGGATTTCCTAATCTGTAGTTTGTTGCTAGCAGCAGCAAAAAAGAACATGGCTAAAGCGGCAAGTGGAAATACAGATTTGATTACAGTCCTTGTATTATACCTACAATAAACACATGATAAAGTTCCCTGGGCTGTACATTCACGAACACGTAAATGCAATGCAGTATACATGTTCATACAGGACACGTGTTCTGCCAGAGTAAGACTGGGATTGCACTATTTATAGAAGACAAAGGCCCAAATGAGTCATAACGGACACTGTAAGACCTAATTAAATGTTAACATCACTTCACCTACATGTGCCATAGTTTCAACACTGTCAGTATTTTATTAGTTTTCTTATTTCCTAACTTATTCCTGAATTCTGACTACAAAGTCAAAATGATTTTGACTACAAAGTCAAAACTGGTTAAGTGCTGTTTGTTCAGCAAATTATAAAAACATCTCTAGTAAACCCTCCAGCAACACAAGAAAAAAAAAATCTCTAAAATTATTAGAACGTTAAAACTACCTGCAAAGATAGCTTGGAATATATGCACACTTGTGTACTGGGTGTGCTCATGGGCCAACACTTCTAATTTTCAAGAATAATGCTCTCCAGCATCCTGACAATTTCTGAACTGGTGAGTTGTTCCTTCTTACATAAAAGGAATCTTCTTACTAGATTGTTCCTAGACAGTGCCTCACTAGAAAACTAACACAATTAAATGCTAACACAATTGTGCTGAGGCAAACCAAAGGAGCGTGTGTGTAAACATACCTTATAGACAAGCAGATACGCTGTGTGCACATCGAGAAAACTATGATGCACACAGTCAGGATGGGATTTTCTGAGTTAAGGTAATTTTTGCATCCAGTTATCCTAAACTCCTGTGGAAAACCCAAGTGGAAGGTTTTTCATGTTTTTCCTGCTGGGCTTCAGAAGCCTCTATGAATCAGACAAGGCATGACCTGAAGGACAAAAATACGCAGTTGGGGTCAAATGGTATTTCTTGGAAATGGCAGCTAGTGAAAGAATTAAAGAAAAGAGACAAAAAGAGAACTGAGTTGTGCCACTTGAAAAGACCACAAAGAAATCAGTGCACAGAAACTAGTGAAAACTGTACAATTCGTAACGTTACTGACAGAATGATTTGAGGGGTGCACTGGCAAGAAATCAGAGAATAAGAAAAACCCCAGGAAAACATTTTTTGAAAGGTGCATGCTCCTAGAAATCAAAGGTAAACAGAATCAGATTCCTCCACATTTCAAAACAGGCAAATGTGGCACCTTAAACAGATCCTGTGACACGTAGACTCAGTGGAGGGCTAATGACCCCTATCTACACAGGACATGCACTGATCAAACAATTGCAAAGCATACCAAAGTACAAACTCAGAAGGAATGTTTTCTAGTCTAGCATAACCTGGTTTACTTCACTTAGAAACTCTTCTGCCAACCAGGAACACAAGGGCTTTTTCCTAGCATTCACCTTTCTCTAACATTTTACATTTTGGGAGCTTTAGGATGCCTTTTTCTTCTATCTGTGAGTGAAAATACTTTTCAAAATCCCACACATCTGTATCTGAAGCCAAACTCTCCTTCCTCCACAAAGAAGAAGGGGCATGCAGATAGAAACTTCTTCTGAAACCTCCTGCTATATAACTTATTTACGTGTCAACATGCTTATATAAAATAGCATTATTTCTAAATATCACAGAACCAGCCTTAAAGCTTTGCTAGTGGAAAGCCAAAATGATTTGTCCCATTTTGCTAGCACAATAACTCTGTGTACATTAACAAGCATGATGACCATAT